CTGAATTCCCATCAGTAATTGTTTTTATAGAAATGTTCATGTTTACTTATGCGCATGCATGTCCAATCGCTGAATAAGGAATTCGTGTTTTCGCCGAGCTTTGGAGCCACATGTATAACGGTCCATGGAATTGGAAATGAAGCGTTTATTCAACGAATGTCTCTTAAAGGCTTACATAGGATCATATGCATTTCACCCAAAAGTAACATATCAAATTATCATCAAAAAGCTTACTTGGATTAAAGAACGGGAAAGATTTCCATATAAGAAGTTCACTCAAAACCCTGTGTACAAACCCTATGAGAGTGGACTGAAAATTCTGTGTTTTCTAAGAAAATTAAATGATTGTATTTTCTCACTGCTCAAATTGACTTTGATGACATGAAATTGCTATCTGGGGGCTTGTTAGTCAATACAGAGGAAAATTAGTGAACTTCTTATATGGAAATCTTTCCAAAGAACGTACTAATACTCCGTGAAACTATTCAGTCTGACTTGCTGACTGTCATTTAGAGAAAAAAAACATGGAATGAAGGTCATATCCATCAATCAAGTGACTGTAAATAAAGAGTGCTACTGTAGAAATCGTTTTTCGTGATCAATAGTTTGTGCAAGGTTTTGTGCTGAAACCTCGACAGGTTGTGTTTTGAACATTTGTCTTGGGATTTAGAGTGGAGTTATAGTTGGAAACGAACAAAATGCATGAACAGAAAATGATGCCTTTAAGCGTCTCTGACCAATTTTACTGGACCAAACAATCATGCATGCCTAGATATTACTTGCCTTTTTGTTGATTTCTGCAGTTGCTGCCAACCATGAGGCCTTTCAGACTATCGTTTCACTGTCCGTGTTGAAATCAAGAATGAGTCCGCCTTGAACAGAACTGGGTCCCAACGAACACGGGTTGGCAAGGCATGCCGTTCACACACAGTTTTGTACACGGGCCGGCTGTAATTTTTGAATTATCTACCCGGGTAGATCCACTCAACCCTGGTCCCAATCAGGGTTGAGTTCACCCGTGTAGAGCGATGGACCCGTTGTAGAAGCCGTGTTGGATTGCTGATAGTGTGAAAGGTGTTCCTGGATTGTGGGAAATATTTTTCTTAAATAGCCCACTTCACTTTCAAGGCAGGCATCAAAGAAACCAGTTATTCCTACAATGAAAACTACGAATAGCTAGTCATGAATCAAGAGCTGCATTTCTTTCAAGACCTGTTGTCAGATAGTTTGGGCAAAAGTGGCTTGAGGATGGGACACTGGTACAACTATATGCAGTACTTAAATGCTTTCACTTGAGAAGGTGTATTGGGCTAAACGAGGTAACTTCAAGACAAACGATTAGAAAGAGTAAAATGTAAGGACAAACAAGGGTTGTCTAAAAAATATGTAAAGAATGCTTCAGCTGGTGATTAGTCTCTCATACTCATTAAAAACTATTGTCACTCTAAATAAAGAAATACCTGACACGCGATTTGCACATTGTGGAGATTGCTGACAACACACGTTATGAAAAGTTGATGAACAATAAGGAAGCAATCGGCAGCCATACCCAAAACAAATAAACAACTATTCCAAGTTTGGTTCATATAGGAATGCAAAAACCATTGAAAAGACGCAGGCCTATTCAGAGAGACGGACATACAAAACAATACACTGAATAACAGTAAGCAACTTATACACAAAAATAATTACGTTATTGGAAACTGCGTGCAAGCTAATGCAAAACAATACACTGAATAACAGTAAGCAACTTATACACAAAAATAATTACGTTATTGGAAACTGCGTGCAAGCTAATGCAGGGGCGAAAGTACAGTGGTGGAGAGCGTAAAAATGATTCTCACAGTTTTTCGTGGGAGATCCACGCATGTTCTGTTCAAACATCCGCCATCAGTAATGAGCGCGTAGAGGGCCTAAGCCAAGTTCGGTATTTCAACTGCATGTTAAGATTTGACGATTTTCTTTTGAGACAAACAGTTCGCCGTATGCTTGTAAAATGACTGTCTTTTTCTGAAGTAAGCGAAACATTTCGAAAACGTTGGACAGCGATTTGGACACCGATTTGGCTAATTTGGCTCTGAAGAATTTCTGATTACATCAATGTGCCGCACATAGCTTTCTGTTATCCTTCAATCTGAGATGATATTTGTAAAGTTAAAAATTAAATCAAAGGTCTGAAAATACATTTATTTCTTAATAGACGAAGTTGGAATTGAAACCGAGACACTTGGTGCTAAGCCAATTTCGGTCGCATCCCGAGCCACGCCGATCGAGTCCGAGTCCAAGTCCGAGTCCGCAGGGTTGAGTCCAAGTCCGAGTCGCGAATCATACAAGTCTGTGGTGATATATAAGGTAGTTAAAATATGAACTCAACGATGACTGCCATGGCCCTTATTGATGACTGTCGTGCATAAACTATTTCATTACATGATGCTCGAGTTCAAAGTTTAACAGAGAAACGCCCAAGAAATTTCAATAGCTCGAGCTCCAATATTTCAGTAGCCCTTTGTAAGTTTTTCATCCGAGAGAATGACAATACAGTAGAGTAGGCCTAATCCGGACTTGAGAACCTAAATTAATGATGCGGCCATGGCGACAGGTCACGGAAAATATTCTTGCATTATATCCAGTATTGTTTTAAGCAAAATAAATTAACATTGCTTTTGTTGAGTTGTTGAGTTTTATGGGCGGTATATGCAGTTGTTGCCTTTTTTGTGACGTCACTTAAGAAATATAAATTGGGCACGTACTTGGGCTCAAAAGTCAACAGAATTGCTGTTGAAATCCTCTCGTATCAGCTGAGAATTTGCCACAAAGTAGTACTTTAGTGTAAAGGTAGACGTCATGTAGGCCCTACCCTACATCTACGTATTGCGACTGTCTCTCCCAGATACTGATGTGAAAATAACATTGGAAATCAAGGTCTTGGGAACTTGCTCACAGTATCTTTAGATGCACGGTCTCATTATGCCATCATGTGTGTGCTCCAATCCCCATCTATAAGAGATATATCCAAGGCCGAGTGCTGTATTGTTGGATTTTCCCCTTTTTTGTTTATTTTTACTCTTACGAAATCCCTAGGTTCGAGTTCAAAGTTTAATCGAGCAACGCCCATACATTCAAGGCCGAGTGCTGTATTGTTGGATTTTCCCCTTTTTTGTTTATTTTTACTCTTACAAAATCCCTAGGTTCCAGTTCAAAGTTTAATCGAGCAACGCCCATACATTCAAGGCCGAGTGCTGTATTGTTGGATTTTCCCCTTTTTTGTTTATTTTTACTCTTACAAAATCCCTAGGTTCCAGTTCAAAGTTTAATCGAGCAACGTCCATACATATCGAATAGCATGGAGCTCGGGTATTCATAGTGTTTGAGGCTAATTGAAAATAGACTTTCGTCGTAATGTCGAAAGAATTTTTTTTCTTAGAGGCGCTGAGCAATTGAATTCCCATCAGTGGATGGATTAGATTTGCAAGAAGGAAGCTTGTTATACGGTCCTTGGAATTGGAACAAGCGTTTAATCAAAGAAACTTCTCTTAATGGCACATATAGGATAAGAATGAAAAGTTGCATGGTGAAGATAACAGCAAGGCAAGTTTGCGGTGGCACCATGTGACATTAGTCTATTTTGTGATTGTGTTGTGGTTCTAAGAAGAACCGATCTCAACTCGACGTTTCGGACATCATTCCCTGTCTCCTGACGACGGACCGAGTATGCTGTCCGAAACGTTGAGTCCAAATCGGTTCTTCTCAGAACCACCGCATACTCACAAATTAATTTCACATGGGGTGCCACCGCAAATTTACCTTGCCATATGTAAGATCATTATGCGTTTATCCCAAAAGTAACTTACCAAACTATTTTCAAAAAGCTTTATTGGATTAAAGAAGAAGATATCACGAAATGTAGGTGATATCCAACGATCAGTGAAGTGACTATTTTTTTTGGGGGGGGGGCGGGGAATTAAGAGTGCTATTGAAGAAATCGTGTGTCGTGATCAACAGTTTGTGCATGGTTTTTCACTGTAAGATCGAACACTGAAACTTCAACACTGGAACTTCAACAGGTTGTGTTTGGAATATTTTTCGTTGGATTTAGAGTGGAGTTAATATTGGAAACGAACGAAATGCATGGACAAAAAAATGATGCCTTTAAGCGTCTCTGGTCAAAACTGGGATGGTTATGGCAATTTCACTGGACCACACAATCGTGCGTGCATACATCACTTCCATTTTTTTGTTAATTAAACCAACAAGATTTCTGAAGCTGCTTCCAACCATAAGGAAATGCTTGACACGCGATTTTTACAGCAACACGCTATGAAAAGTTCACGAACACTTTAGTGCCATGCATCGGCAGCCATACCCAAAAAAACTAACAACAATTCCAAGTTTGGTTCATAGGAATGCGGTTTCCAATGGCCATGCAATTGAAAGGACGTTGACCTATTCAAAGAACGGATACACAAAAAATACGCCGAATCACAGTGTGGAACACATCAATATGTTATTGGTAATTGCACGCAAGCTAGTGCGGGGCGATAGTGCAGTGGTACCGGCGGCTTGAAACCACCCACGTGACGGGCTTTTGACCAATAAGAATGGGTATTAACTGTATGAGGTATTTACGAATTGCACTGTATATTAGCAGTTTGTAATTTCACTCTTTGAATTTCGCTTTGGCAGTGCAACCGTTTTCTGACTGCCTCATTGTCACCCTCACTGAAGAAACTAAATATCCATGTCAATCATAAGTTAGTTAGGACTTGCCGAATCAGTCCAGTGTTCTTGCGAATACGTAAATTCTCTAGTTGAATGCATAAAAGAATTGAAATTACAGAATAACAAAATACGGTGCTCATAATTAACCTGTCGCTGTTTGCGAGTTAGCCACGCCCCTTAGACAACCCTATGGAATTTTGGACATTAAGTTTTGTTTGTCTCAGATTTCGCGTCTTCCGCGTTTCTTTGTATATCATGTAATTGTACAATAGTTCTCAAGGTTCGTTGATGCGATCCTACCGCGATAGGTTTATTTCAGAGAAACTCCAATTAATATTTCAAATTGATACAATACTATACTTTAAAAAACTGTCAACAATTCGTAAATACAACTTCAGGATGACAAAATATATACTTTGATCTAATTAGGCCTTTACTATTAAGTCATAAAACGCTGCTAAGAAAATAAGTTTCATAAACTTTGATTTGGACAAACCGACATAAAATGATATGATACTGTAAACTTCCGAATGAAAAAAATGTTGATAGGGCCTGCTTAAGCTAAGCTAAGGATAAATCATGACGGTGTTAATTGATTGTTTTGTTTTACCTGGGTAGCCCCACCGGATGTCTAGGAACTGTTCTCCCTTGGAAGTCTGGATTTAACTGTTGTCATTTATGTCATTACTCCGAGTTAAGCCCATTACAATAGATTAAGCACAAAAAGTTTACGTTTCTATGCCTTGATAAAATACAGCGGATGGTAATTCAAAACGCAGCTGCAATGTTAAGCCGGCGATTATATAAACTGTTTCGAATGTTCTAAATTCGACAGGAACACTACTTTCAAGACTCAAAAGGAGTGTTGGCTCCATAATACACTCTTTCAACAACACTCTTTCTTTAACACACAGAGTATTCATTTTTCCATCCGCTCACTAATATAATACAATAAAAAATAGATTATAAAATGTTTTAACTAAGAGCTGATCAAAATACACAGCAGCATATAACTTGTAACAAATCCTAAGAATTGCTTATGTTTAAAAATGAAAGACATTAGTTTTCTCATTACATAAAAAAACAGACCTCGTAACCCTATTATGGATTAAATACACCAATGAAGAACAAAGAACTTAAAAAAGCTGCTTTACCACAATCAGTTAACAGTTCCATCCAAGACTGTGTAGAATTTCAAAAGGTAACCCACAAAAAATATGGAATACATGTGCGGTAGTGTGTGAGGCTGATGATGATAAGGGGGCCGAGAAATTTCAGATCATATTAACACAGAATGTATTTTATCTTTATGTAATAGTAATGAAGCCAACCACAAAGTAAGATATGTTTAGTTTTATTTAACATCAGTAAATGCCCCCCTCTGGTGGGGATGAGTGTATGAAATTAAAATCATGAAAAAAGGGGTATAAAACAAATATGCTTCACTGGATTCAAAACAAGTTTCAACTGAGATAGTTTTTTAAGAGGTTAGTTTTGAAAATGGGTGTTTGCTTTGTCTTCTCCTACAAGAACCAAGAAAACACCTCAAATCAAGAATAAGATGGGGAGAGACACGGTACCAAACTGGGTGAATGCAGTATGTGTGAGGATTCATTCCACACAAGAACTTGGATAACTGTGGAACTGGTAATCATGGTAAAGCTGCAAGCCGTCGCTTAGTCGTTCAGTCTACTTATCCCATGGGCATTACTTGTCGCAGAGCTGCATCTGCAGCTATGGAAGCTGTGACCAGTGACGAGGTTTAGTAGTAGAGGGCGGGATTGTACACCGTGCGGCCTGCATGAGCCCTTCCATCACGCTGTGAAATAAAACACCAAGGGGACATATCACAAGTCTTGAAATTAAAGTTGTGGTGGAGTGTAAGCCGAGGGTAAAACATTTAATATTTGAAATTTACAGTGTGATCATGTAAACTCACCGCTTCGTTTTCTCGGTAACGTTCCAATGCCTCGTTCCCAGTCACCACGTATGGTCGGATGAAGTCTTGGCGATTCTGCATAGACTTTGTGTCATATACAAAGAAAACTTAAATCAGTAAGTTACACGTGACGTCTTAAATTATACATAGATATGTCCAAAGCAATACATTGATTGTGTCCATGTCTATATACAAACACCTTGTCTATTTGTATCAGAATCCATTTTATCCCCGAAGTACAGCACTCTTGCTTTCAAGGGTCATCAAGCCCCACGTAAAGTAAGATTGGCTAAGATCTACTTTCCTGAAATCAACAAAATCCTTCAAAACCCCATTGTGGATTGGGAAAGATCTTGGAAGGCTAGGGTTATAACTCCAGCAACTTGACAGGCTCTTTCTTCAGAAACCTCTCTAAGAGAAAGAACACAGTTAACCTGCCTCACCTGTATGTAAGGTGACTGGCTCATGACATGAGCGAGACGATTCATCCTCCTTTCTTCCTCCCTGTAGTCGGTTGCACTGTAGCCTTCGTCAGAGGACACGCTGCGATCTCCAAAATCGAAGGGTTCCCTACTAGATCGGAACTGTCTACTTGACTGATGGTAGTACTGAGCCTTACTATATTGACGCCTCATTAGCATGCAGAAACACATGGCTATTCCTGCTATAGCCAACAGGAGAACAACACATCCGACTATGATGAGAACTGTAGCTAAAGGTGAAACACCACCTGCAACAAAGAAAACAATACAAAATAAGGTACTTTTCGTCCAAAACCTTCAGATTAGGAACGAAATGAAAACGCAATTTTATTGCAAATACCCTGAGATACATAAACTGAATGTCAGGAACTGAGTTTTTTTCCAATGATCCGTAAAATCAACATGCTACAAAAAGGCCCGGCTGTAAATATAGTCCTTTAAAATGAACCAACTGTCTATGACCTTCTTATCTGGGGACATTTAGGGAAACTGATTCGAATGGGACGTACCTCCTGGGGCTGCCGTAGTCTCTGGGGCTGTCGTGGGTACTGGAGTCTCGCACTGGTCGCCAGTAAATGATGCTGGGCAACTACAAAACACAAACAGATTACATCCCACGTTTGTATAACATAACATCTTAATTTCTCAACGAGCATTAAAATAAATATGTATCTAAAACTCACATTAAGCATTCCCTCAGTTTTTTTTAAAGAATCTGGGCCGGCATAAGGAGGAATTGCACCATCGCCATTGTTCAATCAAATCATGGATGTGTAAGTGGCATATATACTCGGTCAACATCAGCATTTTCAATTACCGATATATCGACCAACTAATATCAATTATTATCATAATTAATTGATATAGGCAGTGCAACCCATACTAAAATCATTCAGGCACTTTCCGGCCTTTTTGTCATGTGCTGCTTTTAAGGTTATAATAATCCAACTCCTTTCATGCAACTCCAGCTTCGCCCCCTAAATTACCTGCAGGTTAGCTGAGGGTTGAAGCCTGTCCTCTCGCACGTTCCGCCATTCATACAACCATCTTGTGTGCAGTCTGATAACAGTGCTGATAACAGAACCAATTACAAAAAGTGTAAATGTCAAAATGTGCAAAATATCCACTGGTGGATTTTTTCCCAATGGACCACTGCTTTACCGAACACTTTGTGCTTAGGTTGTCGCAGGGATTGCATTTCTAATTCAGGAGGTTTCCTCAGTCCATCTATTATTCACATTTTTGTCAATTACGTTAACACAGCTGTACTCAGTTCAAAGTCGGAGACCATTTAAATGATTGAGTGTCCCACGGTTCTAAATCAATTTCATATTTTCTTTCGTATTGATGTCTCTGTTTCGGAGGATAACTGGAATATCAATAACGAAGTGAAATATCCAAACAAATGTTAAAAAAGCTTACACGCCTTCTAATCAATGTTTGTACACTCCATGTCAGTTAGTGTTTTCTACCTGTAAATCTGTTCTTTGTATTTGGTGCGGTTGCCCTTGTTTCACCTAATAGTCTACAAGGACAACAGCATCATATAGTGCTTAGAAACGTAGTATTAAGCGCGGTATAAATGTTTGCTATTATGATTATTATTATTATTAGTCAAAACATTCCTTTAACCATTAGCACTTGTATTACACTGTGTTACATAGTATTTACTCATTGATGAATCCATAAGCCATACTAGGGCTGGGGCATTTTGGGGTAGTACTGGTAGTAACAGGCAAGTTGGATTGGGGAGATCATAGGAACTAAGACATTACAAAGCCTTACATGTGTTTGTGTAGCTGACAGAGTCCGGTACAAGAGCTATGTCTGTAACACCATCGTTTATTGTGCCACCCGCTGCAATCACATTGGTGATGACATCCACCGATGGTTGTTGCCCTTGGAATGCTAGCGCAATATGTGTAACCACACTGCCACTCTCAAATCTCAAAACTTGTACGGCAATCACACGGTTAGTCAAACTATCTCCCCGCAGTTTGCTCAGAATCTGGAAAAAGGAGAAAGTAGCGTTCAGATGGTAAATAGACGAGGTCAGTTCTTATTCTTATTGCAAATATGAAAGTCACTTCTGACATTGAGGTAATTTGCCTCAGGAATTTGCAAAGTTGAATACATTTCCACCACAGTAAATTTTGTAGTGGATATTTTGTCATAATGAATCACTATATTTTGTCATGATGAACCCATCTTTACCGTCATTCTTATGACAGGGACGACAGCTGGTACCAATTACCCGACAGAAGATGCCAGAAATTAAACCCGGTTCCATATCTGGTTCTTTTACCTGAAAACCCTCTTTGCATAAACACAACTTTTCGATACTATAGGGAGACACAACTTTTGCACTGATCAGTGATAAATAACCCACAAAAAAATTGAAAAAATGTGTCTTTGTATACCCAACGAATACTTAAATTATGAGGCTTTGCGAGGGAGATGCCTTTCTGCTTTTGCAGTCGACCAACTCGTCAATGATCAACTCGCATACTGAAGTTTGTATCCTTGTGGAGTCATTTCTTTGTTCTCGTGTACTAAAATTTTAGAATGTGAAAATCCTGTTTCAGAATGCTCCTATTTTAACCAGAATTAACTTCTTGGGCTGAAATTCGGACTTCAGGGTACCGTGTATGATCAGATCTCGGGAACACATAACACATATATATACACACCCAAGTGTGTATTTACCTTGCTCTTTCAAAACGACAACGGGTATAAGGTTCCAAAATTACCCGCAAAAGCACACCCCTATGCAAATTCCAGCCCATGGCCAGAACTGGCATATGGATTGTAGAGGAACTTGTTCATATCCCTGTGTTCACAATACACAAGCTTTAAGTTCATTCCCACAGGGGCGTGCACTTAAATACATGAATGAAACAAATTAATGGTATATTACCGCTGAAACAACCCTTCTGGCAAGTTGTTTCCAAGCAGCAGCTGCTGGGTTACGGTAGGCACTGAGGAAAAGCAGGTCTAATGACATGACAAATCGGAGTGCGGACCCTCGTTCTGAAAAAAACAATAGCATTTTTTTTGTTTCAAATTAAATTTGGTATACCTGTTTTGAAGTGATCTTGAAGATGCTGTTTTTGTGAATCATGAAGCTGTTCTTGGAAAAAATGAAACGTAGAACTTGCACACTGTAATCATATTGTAATGATAAATACCCACTGGCATATAGCGAAGGGAGGGGGGCGGTGTGGTAACAACAACAACCTCCATAATGCACACAACCCCCTCCGTACACAGCCTGTTACAACTGATAATGTAATAACCAACGGATAATGTATCACCAACCGATAATGTCACACAAATTAACAAATATTGTATTACTAACCGATTATGTAACAAAATTGACTGAGATTGTATCACTAACCGATTATGTAACACAATTGACTGAGATTGTATACTGAATGTTACAACGCTATCAGTCAATTTTGTTACATCGGTTACGACCGATAACGTAGCAACAATTGACCGATAGTGTACTAAATGTTGTTACATATCGGTTAGTGAATGGTTACAGTATCGGTTGATTTATGTGACATTTTCAGTTGGTGATACATTATCCGTCGGTTACATTATCAGTTGTAACACAGCCTGCTTGTGCATGGTGCGCTGTATGCAAAGGGAGGCTTCAACCATCAAATTTTGGGGAAAATTGTATAACACCTCCCCCAACGAAAAATGTCTGGCTACGCCACTGCAATTAGCTTGCAAGGTTTACTTTACATTGCTAGTGTTGCATGCATCTTTACTTAAGATGCATGGCACATCATACAAGTTTATGGCTACGGAGTTCAAATAATAGCCCTGCAAACGGAGATATCACCTCGGGGTTCTCTAGACCAGGGCTGACATTTTCAACCCGGGTTGAAACTCTCGCCAGTGTTCATAAACTATAGTAAGCGAAATAAGCTGGGTTTGCACAAAACAATGTGCAACGATGCGGGGTTGAACACCGTGTTGGAACTCAAAAACTCATCCAGGGACAGCACTGGGTTCGCTCAGGATTGAGTTCAACCCGGGCTGAGAGGCTTTAGTGTGAAAAGACGTATAAAAGATCTGGAAAGCTCAATTGAGAAAACCCTGGTGAAGCATTCCACAGGCCTCAGGGTTAAAGCCTTGTTCCATCAATTTCTAAACTTGTAGAACACAGACTTACGTGTACATGAACCATCACTGTTAGTGAAGAACCCTTGATAACCATTGCATTCGCATGTGTAGCCCACAGCATTCGTAGCCGGTTGACAGAACTTCCCTGCAGCATTTGGGCACAGAGAGGTGTCTGACAAACATGGATTGGCAGCTGCAAAACAAAGTAAAAAAAATAAGGAACAATGAAAACTGTTTCCAGTATTGTTACGTTAATGCCAATACAAGTACAGGCCTTACCCTCTTAGTAAACAATAATATTAATAGGGCTGAACTTCAACTTTAACTTCTTGTAGCAGTTGAAACACACATTTTGCTCATAGATTGGTCAACACATAACATGAAGTGGAAATAAATCGTGTAAACATGGAGAACTGACGTGAGTAAAAACAAGACGATTTCTTGGAGAACTTTCACACAAAGAGCTGTTAAACTGCAGCTTGCATATCCTGCCTAAAGACCGTTTCATATATGATTGACGTTAAAGCCTAAGCGAAGCGAATTCGTGACATCAACAATTATTAAAGTTACATTGTGATATTTGCCGTACCCCTAACGAATTCGCTCTTATAACTCGCTTGAAGTATGAAATTATAAGTCCAAAAAAAATTAAATTCAATGTATATTGGATGCAATGATACACCTCATGAAATGAATGGGAAAAAATCATGAAGGAGTTGTCAGCCTTCCATTTCTGGAATCAGAAGCAAATAACTTTGGATGAAACCAGTATCTTGGAAAATGAAAGAATCATACTTATTACAAAAAGCAAGCTGTAGCTGTGGAACATTGTTAAGTCAGGAAAATCTTTTTGTTTCAACAGCAACTCATCGCAAAACCTTACCTGCACAAGTTGGTTCAGCATAAGCGTACGGACAACGACACTCACAAAAGTCTGAGTCGAATTCACCTCCATTCAGGCAACTGGATGCAGACAGCGGGCACGCTGGTACAAACAAGCACACAAACAATGAGCCGGATGAGAGAGTTAATTAATGGTCATTGTAAGTGACAGGTGCCTAGGGATCATGCTTCAAGTCTTGATGCTAGCAACAATAATGCATACTCAGATCGTTTATGGCTTCTGATTAATGCAAATGTCTTTGCATGAACAAAGACATTCCCACTTTGGGAGGGAGACTGCCAATACAGGCTGGATACAGCACAAACGGGTTGAGCGATCGGGTACAGTTTTCAAGATCTAAGGTTCTTTTGACGTATTTTAAGTGAGGCCCTTAGTATGATTTGAACAATGAAATAACAGTGTAGGTGGTGGGAAGAAAACCTGGGAATGACATTCCAGGCAAGACCCACTGAATCCGGTACGGACTGAAAACCTATTCACAATAAAGGCCTAGGCTAGATTCGAATCCGGGTCGCAGTGGCGGAGGGCACGAAAAGTGGAGCTGTGCCAAACTGATCCCCAAGGGACATGATTATGAGCATGTAGAGTTGGAATAAGGAACTGGGTATTATTGAGAGTTTTCTGATGCATAAAAATAGCATATCAAAACGTTCAGGAATACTTTCCAATCAGTTAAGAATTTAATTAAACAATTTAATTGTAAAGTGTGAATCAATGCTGGATAAAAGTGCGGTACATTGGGATGCAGTTGAATTGCATGTCTGTCATATGTTGCAATCACACGTACTTTTGTTGAAGTTTAATTAACTAATGTTAATCCAATAATGGACTGTATGTTATGTATTTGACCAGAACAGAAGCCCCGCCCTCTGCGGACGTGGTTGACAACACCTGCGCCTCTTGCATGTTCCAACTTGAACCGTAACACCTGCGCCTCTTTCATGTTCCAACCGAAGGCATCATGACCGTGTAAAGACACACTTGTCAGAAGGGCCTTAAAGATCCCCCTTTTCCCAGATTTTAGTGGACACATGGTCAGTTTTCAAGGATCACAAAAGTGGAGTTTTTCTCATTGTGTGAAAAGGAGATAACTAAGTTATCCAGCAAGTCTAGTAATTGTATACATGTATATGGCAAACGAATAGTTAATCAAACAATTAAGACAAACGTTTATCCAACCTCCAAGAAAGACATGCTGTTCTAGATTAATTTCTTTCCTTTGAAATGTATGGGAAATTATGCCAGCCCCCTGACAAAAATCCTGAAACCTTTCTTGATATATCACTGTAAATCGCACATCTGTCTATAACTTTGATTCCATACCTGAACAGTCAGCTCCAGTCCAGCTCTGTGCACACGAACACTGGCAAGTAGCAGTGTTGAGCGTTCCGCCATTCATGCAATTCAAGTTGCAGTCTGCAACAAAAAATCTCTATCAGTATTTTTTTTACAGTACAACAGTCCCTTTCTTCAGTGGTAGGCTACTCTATACAAACAACTAATGTTTATGAATGAAAGGGTAAGAATTATTTCATGAAATTTTCATAGAATTTTCGTCGTGGAATCGAATATTCAATCAAATGGCAGGACTTTATTCAGGCGTTGTATAAATATCAATACGTGTATATATAGCTTATCAGCTTTTCTCAGCAAAACAGGTCACACTGAGATGTGATACCGTATAACCATGTTATAATGAAGATAATTGGGTCGATATAGTGCACAGTGGTCACCATTTTAGGCTGCAAATGCTCTGGGGCCGCAAGTTTACGATTATTCTTTCAAACAATTAATTGTTCCCTGTTGGATTACGTTTGCGATTAATCAAACGGCCGATTTTCTTGCGGAAAATGTGGGTTGAGAAAAACGACGGCGATTTACAATATCACCTATATATATCTCGATTTTGTCTAACTTAGGCGATTTCCATTGGGTTTTTTAAACCAATATCATAGGCCTATTCGTGGCGATATTGTATCGCTATGTTGTCCAACGCTACATGGAATGTTTGAGATTTTTGGTTTTAGACGTTTTGGGCCGTTCTCTTAAGCCTTTTGAAAGGAAGCGTTTGTTTCCACAAAGTGGTTTTCTATTTAATCAAATAGAAAATGCAACCGGATAATCGACACTTTGATAGTTTAATCGAGTAACTGAATAGTTCAGCGCTCTTAAAATTGTACATACAATTTGGGAGCTAAAGAGGCTGTTTGTATATAGCCAATTTTGTTATGGTGGTGTTTTTGTTATATATGTTCTACTGTATGTACATGCCTATGACTGGTCCGGTACTCACCAGTGCAGGTATTTCCCATCCAGTTTTGGTCGCATTGACACTGACACGTTCCGTCATTCGGTGTACCTCCATTTGCACAGGAAATTTGACAGTCTGAAAAAACATCACAGTACTTTTATCATAACAAAGTATCTTAAGATATTGTTAATATTAAAAAGGGTATGAACGGAGCTAGTGTGACATTTCGTTTCATGTTTTCAAAATGGGTTTTCTTTTGTTTGTTTTGGTTTGTGTACTACAAAACAAGATTTGAGCAGCTAGCCAGTTTTAATTTTGGTAGAATCCTTAATTTCCCAGGAGGGATATGCAGCTACAATTAAAAGCAAAACTCACCAGAACAGGTGGTTCCAGTCCAGCTACCTGTACATGAACACTGACATGTCTCACTATCGAGATTCCCAGCATTTGCACAGATCAGTTGGCAATCTGTAAATAAGGTTCAAATTCACCTCTTTCATATCATACCATTTCTTTTTATAATACCTTTTGTTACAAATTCAATACCTCATTCAATTCGACCTTACATCAGTTGCTGGGTTCACAAAAGAACTACGGTTCACCTAAGGACAAACTTCCACTTAATCAATGTACGAGTTTATTATTGAATTTTATTACAGGATCAGATCTAGGCTTGAAAATTGCGTACATCAGGGAACTATGCCTTTACAGTTGTGACTACCACTAGTTTGACTGTACAGCTTGTTTGGACTTTACAGATTTCACACAGGGTGGAGGCTACATCACATAAGGTAGAGTAATTGAACTCTTTTCCAGTTGATTAACATGAAACGTCCTCTTCTATAAAGACAAATGTATTGTATTGTGTCAAATTGTTTCTTATTAATCATCTTAACATTTTCCCCCACAAAGATCGCTGCCTTGATTTGTTACAAGATCGATGCACCTAGTTCAAGGTGTGCTAACATCATGATTTTCCTTCAGTTTCCACACTGTTAAATAAGAGCAGTGATAGATTTTTCGGTGAAATATTCAATGATAATGTAACGAACTGAATTTCACTTTGTTGTTGCTTTTGTTCATTAGCCGCTGCCGGAGAGCACCGGCGGCGCATTGTTGGCGCGTTGGGTCACAGGTGCGCTGACCTAGTTCTTTTGTCTAGCTAAGCGCGTGCTCCGAGACTGCCTTTTATAGATAGGTAAGTGAAAGTTTTGTGAAGCTGTGCTTGACTGCTTGTCTATGCTGGAGATCAGCAGTTGTAGTTCTGATGCTAGTTGCCCACAGAGTCTGTTTGGTGAAATAAATAAGAGCTTCTTTTTAAGTTAGAAATCCTGTGTGTTGTGTGTCCCCTTTTCTTGTGAATGCTCGACTTGGAGGACAAGAGCACATAGGTTCACGCTGCAATAAAAAAAAAAACCAGGTAGACAACAATCCCTTTTTTTGGAAAGTAAATACAACACTCACCAGAGCATCTTGTTCCCATCCAGTTACCTGTGCATGGACATTCACAGGTCTGACTATTCAGCTGTGCACCATTTGCGCATTCTAACGGACATACTGCAAACCAAACAGATGAAAGTTTGTAAGCACTATGGAGACTTTAAGTTTAACAATGTCAGTTCACATGTGATTTGCCAAGAAATGTTAAACGCTGTAAGTGTGTGACCACATAACTGCCGATGAGCCAGCTTCCCGTGATAATGAAACACTTGAAAGACTTGAAAAGAGGGGAGCATGACGTAACCTGGAAAAATGGATCACTAGATCACTTTGTTGGGAGAGCAAACAAAAAGTAACTTCACACTGGTTCAGGAGGGTTAGGTTGCGAAATGCTTAAATAGGTAAACACAAACAACTAATTCCTTCCGATATGCTCAAAACAAAGTATTTTATTGATCAAAGACAACTTGAAAAAAACCAAACTTGTAAATCAACCAAAACACACAAATCAATTGAATTGTAGTAAATCAGAATCAACGAGCAGATCAATGAACAGGATTTTAGCGATACTTCCAAAAAAAATATTTGAGTGAACAAAAAAAAAACCTTTTGAGTCAGCAAAAACCTTGAACCAAAAAAAAACCCCAAAAATAGTAAGAAACCAACACGGCGCTGAAAGCAAATCACTTCGTAATACAATCAAACCATCCAAAGTGGTCCAGCAGACTGGCCCATCTAGGCAGGTTGGGCTAGGGAAATTTTGGCTTGCTCCCTCTTCACTGCCTGTCTGCTGAATGGAGGGTCTATATCTTCAGGGGCACAGAGCACACTAGGATGGGGACATTCCTTTGTCTTATGTAACACTAGGGGGGAACTACTCTTATCGACTCAGGAGTCTATGTTGTTACTTGAGAACCACTGGGGAAACCACATAGGGGTGTACTTTGCTTAAAAAAATAAGTTAACCGGGGAGCTACATCTTTTCAAGTGCAATTAAGTAAAAAACTAACTCAGTGAATTTCTCCTCCTTACACTAGCTGAACATATTTTGTATCAAGAGGAAATGTTAGAGGTGGATAGTATTCAACAAAATCATGCACCTTTTAAATTTGTTCATAAAGGCCTCATTATGCCAATGATTAGTCAGTTCTGCTGACAAGGGTGATCATTTCGCTACATAAAATGGGCTACATGACATGGGTTGTGCATGTATGATGACCCAATGAAAAATGAAAACAAGTGGTGGTGTATATTGACTTTGGAAAGTCCGAGAGAGCATGCATTCTTGATATTGACCAAACTGACAACTGGGGATGGAGTTTAACCCAAGACTCCCCTCCCCCGCCTCACTCCTAGAGAGAGCGATACAGAACGTTGAACAATTCCTTTATGTGTTGTGTGGTGCAACTGTCTGTAATGTCAGAGCGCCCTAATTCACAGAAAGAGGCTAGATTTCCTACTTAACAGACAAATATATTAAGATAGTAGAAATCATGATCGGTGTTCAATTACCTGAGCAGTCATTCCCTGTCCAGTTCTGGTCACTGTCACATGTACACTCACAAGTTGTCTGATCCTGCACTCCATTATTGAGACAGGTGGATGAGCAAGCTGCCATACAGACAACAAAAAGGGAGCAATGAGTAAAATAAACTTGTGTTGCTTTATTTTAATTTTAACTTTAACACCCAAAAATGAGCGCGCAAAAATGCAACTGGATTTTTCTTGCATTTATTAGGTTTATTGGCATGTTGCCGTCATTTTGAATTTTAGAATGAGAACAAGTAACATAAAAAAGAACGAGAAGAAAAAGCCACTGTCACTTGGTAATTAATGGTATGGGTGGGGTCATGTATGATTTTTTGCCAAAATCTGCAAATTCATATCTTGTAAATATCAGAAACATGAAAACAAAATTGTAGTGGGGTAATTTTCACACGTCCAATATTGTCCTTATTTGTTCATACCTGAACATTGACAAGTACTGGTGAACAGATTCTCTCCTGGCGGACAGCTACTTAAGCTGCACTCTAAAAAAAAAAAAAAAGGGAGAGAACAAAGTTTATCCAAATCATTGTTCATAACACTGCTCAATTTTTTTGCTCTAACTCAAATTATTTTTAGAGACTGTATCCTTATAATCAGCTCTTTAATGTTTTGTTAACACCAGCGAAGAATGCTACATGGTGAATTTCCATCATTTTGTTTTATCATATGCCAAACCTTTCCATTTCATTTGTATACTTGCACTGGGCCCAATCGGCAACTGAGCCCAATGACGTGATTTTCTGCACACAGGGTGTCTGCCTATTTCACGGAGACCGTCAGTACGAAGACAGAAGACAGTATACACGCACTCTGACTTCGAAGACAGAAGTTTGAGAGGATACAAATCTCCAAGCGTGTTGTCAAGTACGCTGAAGGTCAGCGTCAGTGCAACAGTTTCTGCTACAACTAGCACAACTTTTCTGCTAAATAATTTCTGTAGTGCTATAAAATTGGGTGCAAGCACACATCCAATCACAACGACACAAGAAACGGCAATCATTATATTGTAATTACCAGTACAGGTCGTTCCACTCCAATCGTTTATGCATGTGCACTGGCAAGTCGCCTGATTCACATTACCACCATTCATGCAGTCCAATGCGCAATCTAGGTCAATCACATAACATTTAAACAATTAACATCTGCACCACATTGTATTACATTGTATGTATTTTACAACGAATCTATTAAACCGTGCAATAATTGGGCTTTAGAGATAACAGGTGCATGTGGGGCATTGAAGTGACTATAATGGGCTAAATCCTGCCTCACATTCCCATTCATAAAAAGATCGACCACAGGTGGTCTAATGTTAATCTTTCATTCCAAAGTGTGGAACGTCATGTGTTCCCGACAAATATTTCATTTTAAGGCCCAAGCAAACTGCAAATAAATGAAATGAAGGGATAGAAATGATGTGGTAGGTGGGGCTTGAAATCAAGAGCACAGGCTTAATTTAAACTAAAAACCTGTGCAACGTTGTTGGTTTTTTTTAAATGAAAGAAGCCATGGCACTATAACTGAAGCAGTTTTTTTCACCCTGGCCTTTACATTTTAATTGCTGTTCGTAGAATGGTTACCCAAAAAAAGAAAGTGTAAATGATTTAATATCTACATCTGATGAGGTATGTAAAGGTCCTACTTTTTGCTCCAAAAATTTACCAGGATTACTTGAAGTCTATTATTCCATTTTATACACTAGACCAATCAATCGTCCAGTAGTGACATCGTAGCTATCTGGTCAACTAAATTTAAACTCATGGCCATAAACTCTGCTTTCTTCAGATCCCTTTTGACACTAAATAAAACCAGTAAAATTGTTTTTGTTCGTTTGTTTTTACTGTTTTTGTTAACTGACCGTTACAGCTCAGTCCGCTCCAGTTGTCAGTGCATGCACACGTGCATTCTGCAAGATCAAGTTCTCCGCTATTCGCACATGAAAGCGTACACTCTGAAAAGAAAACACTTATTCAGCGCTCATTTTATATTCCTGTCTCTCGAGTCTCCTAAAGATTCTCAAGGGCTTGTTTCATATTACCATTCTGTTACCCAGAGTTACTAGAAATATCTGACTATAAAATAGATTTTCGGACATTTTCAAAAACTTGCCAACCTTTTTTAACTGCTTGTTGTTTCTCAAAGGCATGGATTGGAATTTCCCCCACTATTCCTCTTTTATTAATTTCAGTGAGCTAGATAGTTTGTAAGGTTTCCCTATACTGTGTGCTAACTACTATTTGCACCGTCACTGATATCCTCAAACCCATAAAAAAAGAAAAATTGAATATTATCAAAAACCGATGAATGATTGAGCCAAAACTTAATTCTTTCTTCAACAAGCATAACATTTAATTTTGTTACCTATTTCACAGTTTTCTCCCATAAATCCTACGTCACAGCTGCAGGTGTATCCACGAGGGTTGTTCAGAGCGTCGTTGCAAGTTGCTCCATTTACGCAGTCGTTGCCCATTTGACAAGGTGCTTAGGAGAATATACAAAAACAATATTCAATTCAATCATAACCCAGAGGAGGGTTGGAAATGTTTTATTAGTTGCTATATAAGCCAGAGATAAAGGTAAGCATGAAAACCGACTCCAAAATAGATTCCTCTTTCATTAACTTTAATGACCTTTCATGAACTTGAATGACCCACCAAACTCTAGTCGTTCCATACTTGTTCCATTCCAATCTCTACTTTCTCAATTGTGGCATGTGTTTTAAAACTTAAGCAAGAGTCATCACAGCCAACAAAATTCTAGAGGAAAAGCTTAAATAAATCTCTCAGATGAGAGAAGTTTTTTAATTCATACGTCTAACAACCTGTTTAAGTAATTACAGTGCATACATCAAGGCTTAATGTGGAATGAGATATCGAAACATATGTAGATTTTTAGAATTACCATAAAGCCTTTACAAAGAACTGTCAAGTAATAGGGGTCAAGTAATAGACTATGTAGAGTCATGTAAATATTTTTAATGATCTGTATTTGTCTGTAATCCCTGAACATTTGAGTATTGGTGTCAGCCTGCTATGCCTTTGATTTCTTGACACTGACAAATGAAAAGCACATAGTTCCTTCAGTTACCTATTGTTTCGCACTGCGGGCCACTGAACCCCTGACCACAACTACAGGTGTATCCAGTGTCCGATGTCGAGTCAACTGCGCAATTCCCACTATTCATACAAGGGTTGACGTCACAAGGTGCTGTGAAAAAAACACAATCCATGATAGTATAAATGTCAAACAAAGTTTCCCTGATTCGTTTGGTTTGATGACATATCCCCTGTCCATGATAGCCATTCCCTACATATAACAATTGTGCTCTTTGTACGGAAGTTCACCTACCAACTTGGCAGTTTTGTCCGCTGTAGCCCGGCGGGCAGCTGCACGTGTATCCTCCCGTGGCCAAGTTGTCTTCAACACACTCACCACTGTTCTCGCAGGGCGCTGAATCACACTCTGGTTTGGAAAAAAAAACAGCCGAATATGAATTATTTAACTGTGAATGTCTCCTCTGCTCGCTATTCCCCTTTGTTAGAATAGAGGTTGATTTATATCTCATCTTGAGAGTGAGGACTTACTGGGGTCGCCGATGATGAATGTCCGTCTGATCAGCTGGTGGTTGGGAGCCAGCTGACCCCCATTGCCACCCGTCACCTGGCCAAGCAATGCCATGATGATGTCCAGATCCGAGTGTCCAGAGCCACTGTCGAAGTTGATGACCAACTCCAGCAGAGCTGTTGATGAGTCTGAGTTGAGCGTCAAGTCTGTGATGACCACATCCCTGAAGGAGCTAGTCAGTGAGGAAGCTATGAAAGCTGCCTCCATCTGAGTTCAACATGAGCCATAAAGAGTACCAACAATTCAGGATGGGAATCACGTTTAATATGATAAACATTCAACAAAACTTTCACGCACTGTCTAAACGTTTCAAGTTTGAAAGGTCCAGTCAACATTTCACAAAAGTAAGCCACCACCTGCCTAAGTATGCGTCTGGTTGCACATGGAAGAGGCAATGAGCACTGAACTTGTTGAAGCAAAAACCAGTTGCCATGTTGCAAATAGTTAAATCAAACCTCCTGGAATGTCATCAAGTCAAAGAAATAGACAGGTGTATAGACAATGTTGATCTCATTGGAGTAATGATCTAATCAATTTCAGTTTCCTTTATAAAAATTTAATTCCATTTGAACGGTTAAGAAAAACTCTAACAAAAAAAAAAATTTAAATGCACCACATCCATACCAGCAGGCACCATCAATCATTTCAAAATTATGGGGGATTAAATTGTTATTGGTGTAATCTATGTACCGAATTCTTCAAATCTTGGCGGTAGGTGACGGAGCCTGTTGCCAGATCAAATCCAGCACCGCCCACAGCCAAGCCACTGATGATTTCAAACACGGCAGATGACGCTTTTGAATAAGCCGCTGGGGAAAAAAACATACACATTAAAATAATAAGTCTCTGCAAAGATGACCTGACAGCCACAGTCTTATTAAATATACATCCACTATATTCTTCTAGCTATTTTTCCTATTTCTTTTCGGACTAACGTTTTGGGAAATGTTTGTCCGCATTAGCACACCAGTCATGCTCACACCTTAATTTTCCCTTTATATCTATACAACGTTTGTCGTGGAGGTCAAAGTTTTAGTTGCAAATTAAACAAAAAACAAGTCATGAATGAGTGTAACGATTTCCAACAAATCTAGAACAATATTTACCCCGACATGTTGCGCCTTCTTGATAGAATCCTAACATGCAGTTGCACTCATACGTCCCTGGCAGATTAGCGCACATTGAGTTGACCATCGTACATGGAGTACCTCCATTACATTCGTTCACATCTGAACAATGGGGAAGATGTCAACAAACACTTCACTAAACCAAACGCATCCTGCGTATTTTGGCCAAGAACCTTCCTTAATCCTCAGGACAATTAACCAATTAATTTAAATGGGCCATCAAACCCAAATTTATGAGTGTAGGTGGTTGGGCTCTATCTTCCATCGTTCCTGCAAAATCCTTCAAACATCTTAGTTTGACGGATCGGGAGTGTAACAAAATCACTATAACTATGATAAATGTGATACAAGGTTTTGCAAAGTTGAAATTACAACTGGGACACAGTTTGTAGATTGAGACGGGTTAAGGCTTTTTCAAGTTTACACACAGATCAAAACCAAAGGCCTCAAGTTAAGCAATGGACACAGATTCCCAATGAGGAAAGACATTATTCCAGGAAGAAAAATTGGAACGTTTTCAGTAATTTGCAAAAAGATAACATTTGTCAGTTTAAGCGGGAGGATGTCCACCCGAATAAAATTCACTTTTTTTCACAGGTATTTACAGTTCTTATACTGAAAATCGACATTTGAAATGAAAGATTTAAAAATGATGTTGATTCTACAGTATTAACTGTCTAAAAATAGAACAAGCGAAAATGTATCAGTAGTGAGTACATATTGTTAAAATTTTCAGCACAGCACTGTTTTGACAATGCAGTTATTACCTTCACATTGGCCCAATATCTTCTCATACCCCTCCAAGCAATCACACACGTAGCTACCGATAGTGTTGTTACATTGAGAGGTTGATGTTTCGCAGGTGTCAGTATTCAAAGCACACTCATCAACATCTGAAAGAATCAGGAGACAATCATTAGTATATGAATTCAATATTCAGTATTTGCCTGATAACTCACAAACATCAATGGGCAGGATTCTAGCTCCAGGCTCAACTGAATGGAAAGAGATGCACAACTAGAGCATGTCTATAACTCTTTCTCCCAGGGCATCCTTTGCGAAGGAATTTTCCTAAATACTGCAAATTTCATAACTGAGTACAGGACCCAATTGCACAATCTTTGTACTTCATCGTTCAAGAAGCATCAAGTAGTGATCTATCCAGTTTAATTGAGGAGGGGGCGGGGGCGTAGGGGAGCACATGGGAGGGGAGGGGAGAAACTTGTAACCCCAGCGAAATGATCCCTTTGATAAATTGAGAGCATCAGCGTTTTACTACCAGTACTGTTTGGAACATCTTCTATTGAATTAATAAGCCCAACTTCCACCGACCAAAACATAGATATGCTAATGGCATCATGTCATTTTGTAGTTACAGTGAATAGGCTCTACCTTCTTGTTAATCCTGCAAAATCCTCTGAAACCTGATTTTGGAATTTGAGGGATCTGGAATGTTTACACATTCACATTAGACCTCACAAATTATTTAGGACCAAATTCACTCCAAGTTGGAAAGTGCTTGTGCAAGTTCCATACACTTGTCCTGGCATCGCATGACCCCCTCCCTGCTCACATTCTAGCCAATGTATAACCGGAGCCATAGGTTTTTAACTTGTGTATTAAAATAAAAGAGAAGGTGTTTACCATCGCACTGTCTGCCAGCTGGGAAGCCTGCAGAGACATAACCTTCTATGCAGGAACACATGTAGCTACCGACATTGTTCGTACACTCGGCAATGTTGGCTGCACACTCATCGGTACCGGTCATGCATTCATTTACATCTACAGACAAGATCGATTCTCAAATATCAGATTTGATTTCATATGTAAATTTCGAGTTTTGGATGTGGAAAGCAAGTCGATCGGCAATTGAACAGATCTTCAACAGCAATGACCCTTTTTCAAATGTTGGTGAACTACCTAGCAGAAAGGAACTTATTCAATGGAGTCTAAACGTGTACTCCTGTTCGTCAAAAATCTGGTGACTTCGTTAGTTTCCAAAATGCGAACCATCATCACGAAATCTTGCCCTTTTCAACTTTAAAGTACAGTGAGACAAGGCCTCATTTGATGGGCCGGTCGACTTTTTGGTTTGAGGAGTTAATGTCCATCTATAAGTCCTCTTCTACTTGTCCTCAACTTTATCTTTAAATTCAGTCAAACATTTCTGAAACCTTTTTTTAACCCATTTCAACTATTTCTCTCTCTTGATCCTGATTTTTATCCGTAGTTCATGGTGTTTGAATTTATTTTGCAATTTCAGTGGTTGCCTCAAAAACTGAATAAAATTAGTTGTTTGTGTTTCCATTAACGCACTCACCACCCCATTATATTCGTTATTGGAAAGGGCTTGTTTAGCAGTATCCAGAAATATGTCAATTCGTAAAAACAAAATCAGACTTTTAAGCTCATTTCGCGTAGTCAGGTCAGAGATGAGAAAAGTATAAAATCGGTTAATTGTTTTACCTTCACAATATGTTCCATTTCCTTGGTAACCCTGGTTACAGTCGCAGCGATAGCTCCCCTCGGTGTCTGTGCACGTCGCTAAGGAGTGACACACGCCAGGGTTCTCCTGACACTCATTGATGTTGACGCACGAAGTAAAGCCATCACCACGGAAACCATCGTCGCACGTGCAGAGATAACTGCCTGGGTTGTCCGTGCAGGTACTGTTGGTAGCGCACACGGGGATCCCACTCTCACACTCGTCGACATCTGGTGAAAGAAATGGGTGTTGTACATGTAATTTTACGGTCGCAAAATAAATGTGGGCGCATCAAGACTTAAGAAGGCCTACCCCATTTTTCTTACCAGGTGAAGTGCCTGAAGAAAATGGGAAATGTATTTTAGCTCATAATGTGTACAGGTAATTAAAGAGTGGCCTCACATGTTCAAAATAAGATCCATTTAATGTGGAAAAAAACTGGTTTACGTTTTCGAGGCCAAAGTGGCCAAGGTTAACTCTCCCTCCCCTCTTTTTTGTTCTTAGAAAAAAACCAAATCTATGATCTGTAAATATGAATATTAAATCAGTACCGTGTGTACTTGCTAATTTATGCTAGCTCCGCCTATTGGTCATCTGAAGTAAAAACTAAATTCTAATTGGCGGAACGATTTCACCTTGTTTCCATTAAGACACACTCACACTAAAAAAATTACATTGTATGACAAACTTCAACTATATTTGGCATCATGTGAGTAAATACAAAAGTTCAATGCACCAAACAGTTTTCTGCCATATGGCCGTACGAGAATTGGGATACATTTTTTGGACCCCATGCATAGTACACAGTGCTTCATTACCACTCTTGAGAGCTCCAGTGGAAGTGCCTCATAGCATTGGTGCACTTGTCCATTTGCGTAAGGCATAAAATACACAGTATTTATTTATTCTTAATATGTACAAATCCCATAGAATCTTCACGTATTAAAGTGTCAGACACTGTAGGCAATGCATTCAAGGGTCCCTCGCATCTGTCTGTCCCAACTTTCTCTTTCCAACCATAACGGGGGCACTTGTGATACACAGTCCATATGTTTGATTGCTTCTGCAACAAATCCGAAAATTCAAGGTGAACCGTAGCCATACTTTGCCACAAGCATATCTTGGCGATCATCTTTCTTAGTTAGGCCGAAATCCGGTGTTTGTTTTTTTGCACACTGTAAAAAAGATGGGCAAAATGAGTTGATAATTTGACCAACGCTGGTCGAATTATCAACTGCCTACACTCTTGGGCAAATTCTTCCCAATAGTTTGACAGTTTTTACCCATTTCAACCCAATATGAGGTCATTTCTTGCCAATGCTGGGTAAATTACATTACTCAACAGTGTTTTATCCATTATTTTTCACAGTGTACATACTTTCGCAAGTTTGCCCATCCCCTTCGTATCCCATGGTGCAGTTGCATTGGAATGAGCCCACCAGGTTGGTGCACGATGCGAAGGGACTGCAGTTGGCGTAGTTCGGGTCGTTGGTGGGCAAGGAACATTCATCAATATCTGGGGGAAAACAAATTCAACTTCAAATGTTAATAGACCCATGAAGTTTTTTTCAATTAACTTCACATTGTGTCGATAATGCGTTTACGATTTCTGATATTTGAAGAAAAAAAAATTTAAACCAATAGAAATATGACAAAGTTGTGAAAGCTAGCCGAGATCTTCAGGAATATCAGCATATGTCAAACTAACATCAGGTATTCCATTAATCAACACCACAACTGAAACAGGAACATCATTTCAAGTACTTGGTGGCATGATATCATGCCAAGTGTGAATTCAAAGCACGCTACAAACCGTGCAGGGCTAATAACTGATGGAAATAGAACCCATGGTTTTATTGTGAAGTCCAAGTACCCCCTCAAAAAAAGTATCATAAAAGGTCTTATGCTGTTACGAGTATCCAACTGCATAAGATAATACATGTGTTATAAATGTCAATTGGGGTCTCGTAAAAAATGTAAAACACCAAACAAACACTCACATTAAATTGTAATCATACCAAAACATAAAAAAAATACATTCACAAAGTGCATTACCAAAGCATAGCTGTCCTGTGCCAGTGAATCCGTCCTTGCATTGGCAGGTGAAGGAACCGTTGTTGTTCAGGCAGTCAGCGTCGATGTGGCAATCATTCAAGGTGTCGTTCAAACACTCGTTGATGTCTGTCAAAATTAACAAACATGAATCTTATTTGACAGAGCATTAATTGAACTAAAGTGGGAGCTGCACAATGTCCCAAGCCATTGACAAGGGCGGATCCGGGGGGGGGGCAAAGGGGGCCATGCCCCCCCCCCCAAAAAAAAAAACGAAACCAATTTTTTATTTTTTTTATGTGACATCGCAATAAAGGCAGGCAATGAGTACACCACCATCTTTTCCTCAAAAAAACATTGGTTAAAGTGGTCAGAAATTGCCTCAGATCGCACCACAGAGCATTAGAATCCAAATTTTTTTCGGGGCCCTTAAGCGGGCCCCGAACCCCACGCCGTAATTTTTTTGACCCACTTTTTGGGGGAACCAAATTTTTTTTGGCCCCCCCCCCAACTTTTTGGGGGGACCAAAATAAATTTTGGCCCCCCAAAAAAATGTGTTCTGGATCCGCCCTTGGCCATTGATGCCTTGGTTCTTGGGAGTGTCAGCACAACATGATTACAATTAATTTTTGGCAGTGACAAGGTCTCTTTGAATTGAGTGGTTTTGGATGCGACTCCGAGGGTTTCTGTCAACAACATGTTGCAGTGACTATCCATAGCCATATTGACAGAATTACAGATATGGCTTATTTTGGTCTTCACAGGTTGTGGTTGACTACTGGTACACATGTAGGTCCTTAACTGACTTTCGAAATTTGTCCAACAAATGAAAATCCAAAAGGTCTTGAAAAGTTAACAAAATTTGTAATTAAGAGGCTAAGAATTTCAAACTGCAGATTTCAGCTTTGTTTACTCCTGTTCACAATACTTATCTTGGTGTGCATTTTGTGAATCGAAGTTTGAGATTCTTGTTCACAGTCATGGAACAAAGAATAAGCTGACATCTCATTGAGTTTTGAGCCTTCTGGAACACATGCCTGCATTTTTCCATGATTCACTCACACACACATGATTGCTGATAATGAACATGTTGTAAAGTGCACAACGGGCCTATTCCCTTAACTGATAAATTGAAAATGGGATGGCTTCGTCAACCCCCAAAGTGGAACTTTGTAAAGTTTCCAAAGGCCCCTAGGTGCACACGCCTAGCAGGAAAGGGTCCTCACCTGAGCAGGATCCGTTGAAAAATTCGCTGCTGAAGCCAGGCTGGCAGTCACAAGTGAAGTAGGGTTCATCGTTGACGCACATCTGGCTCATAGCATCGCAGTTATCGGTACCAGCTTGGCATTCATTCACATCTAAATATCATGAAATAATGCCGTGATGGTTTGTCAGAGCCCAGACTTCAAGTAAGAATCAAGTAGACTACAGTGATCGTTAACCTATACAAATTCTACCGGACAAGCAGTACTTTTATTTGAACAGAGCCCCACCCCAAAATACACCTATTGCGGTTGATTCAGCACTTTTGCTAAGCAATATTTCTGCTCAGCAGCCCCACGAAATTGGTTCCTAGTTTCATTGTTAGATTGACATACCTGAACAGGTCCGTTGGTCACTATTGAGAGTGTAGCCGGGATAACAACTACACTCATAACTGCCGTCCAGGTTATCACACATGGAGTTGGCACCACACATATGAGGATCACTCTGGCTTGTACACTCATCAATATCTGAAATGCAGTCAGAAAAGGTGAAGTTATAAGAATGTTCTCTTAAACCCACGGAACTGTTTTCCGCAAATGTTTTCCAGAAATACAAAATCGCTCAATTCCTGAAAAGAAATCTGATGTTAAGCTCATTTTGTTGTGACATACCAACAAATAAAAACAAGTTTGAAAGGAAGAAAGTTTACGAATATTATACCTTCACAGACAGTGAGATCACCATCGGCTGCATATCCTGAGTAGCAGCGGCACATGTCTGCATTGCTGGCTCTGTAGCAGTCACCCTGGGTGCAATTTGTATTCAAACACATCATTCCAGCTGTGGGAGAAAAATAAATACAAATCGGTCATTGCAATGGCAAAGAAGCTTACACTGTATTACATTGTATTACTTGAATTTATTTACTGATGAATCTACAAAACAGACAGTGCTGGGGCAGTTTTGGGCAGTACACTGACCAATGGGTTAAGATATTTGGAAGTAAAGATAATTACACGAAATTATTAAGCTTCTTTCGAGGGTTATCGGGGAAGTATTTTACTATGATGTTTCCTAACTTATTCAAATTCCTTCATTTTTTAAATGATATTTTTTACAGAAATCGAACGAAGATATCAATTTGCTCACTGTAAATACGGATCATTTTATAGCATTCTTCTCCATCTTGATTTACAAATGCACAGTTGGGATCCCAAACTGGCTCATTCAAGGAAAGTGCGCAACTGAATGTCTTACCTCGGCAAACTCCTTCTTGAAGGGTGAAACCAGTGCTACAATTGCAAGTAAATGATCCCTCAGTGTTGGAGCACTCTTGCTGGCAGTCGTCTAGACCAAGAGTGCATTCGTCAATGTCTGTACAAAAGGAAGTGCATCAGTGAATCGCAACAAATGGCACAACTAAATATTTGGAGTAACGTGCTGACAATTTTGAAAAGGGTCATCGTTCTGTCATTGCAAATCCCTTGTTACTGGACTATTGAATCGACCTGCTGCAATTTACTTAAGAAGATATTTGTGTTGGACAATGGACTTCACGATAATGGAAGGGGATGGTTGCAGCTTGGGTTGAAATGGCAACAAAGGCTTATAATATAAATGCAACATCCAGCAGAAAAGCTTTGACTAAAGAAAATGAAAAGTCTTCGCCTCAATACTTAAAGTTAGAGAATTTATTTACTGAGTATAATGGCTTTGACAGCTGAAACATTAACCAAAACAGTCACACTTTGCCAATGTTCTTAGAAAGCAATTTACAATTTCTGTTTTGCCTTTGACAAAGATTTTGTTACAATGTCAGGGTGCTGAAGTGTAGAGATTATTTGACAACTCACCTGTACAGGTCTGTCCGTCCCCTGTGTATCCAGTCACACAGTCACACTGATAGCTGCCCACCGTGTTGGTGCAATTAGCGTTCGGAGAACAATCATTGCTTCCCTGACACTCATCGATATCTACAACGATCAAAGTTTGTGACAAGAAAGGAAAGATTTGTTTACCCCAAAACAATACTTTCATTTCAATTGGTGTCAAAGTCATATTCTTTATTCTTAATTAGGCAGCGCATCAAGGGGTGTAGCAAATAGGCCGGAGTTGTCACCAAAAAATATTTCAGTCAGCCAGAGCCTCAGTTGGCTACTGAACCACCATGGGCGTGGCTGCCATGAAAAGTGCCACCTATTCTCCGATAAGGTCCAAGGGATTTGAACATCGCCTCCTTAGGTCAGATGGTGCACAGTCCCCCACCCCCACCAAATCTTTGCCTTTGCTACTTCCTGCTATTTGCCGAGGGAAAAGTTCCTGGCTACCTTCCAAAACAGGGGATCGTTCAGCAAATATGTTGTCACACACCCAATCAAATTAAGTCTTACTATGCCCCTGATATGAGCACATCTTCCCATCTTGTCAACTACCTCAAGCCTACAAATTAAAAAAAGTATTCCTTCGACACAAAGCACTGGCAACATAACAATAATACAATTTTGCCCTTTCATTTTAGAAAATTGTATCAGTATCTGCGAAGAAGGTTTTGGTATAAAAAAAAAGGGAGGATACCTCCGATTTTCAGTCCGCTGTTTTGTTCCCGTCGCAGGCCTAATAACATGTTGGACCTACAAGGGACACTAATAATACACGTATACAGCACACTTAGTATGTTTGATTTACCTGTACAGTTTGTCCGACCGTCTCCAGTATATCCATCCTTACAGCTGCAGTCAAAGCTACCCACTGTGTTGCTACACTCACCAGTAACGGCCATACAATCGTCCTGGCCCGTGGTACACTCATTCAAATCTGGAATCAACAACAATGGCAGAAAACTAACTTGGCTGCATGCGCTGATGATATTTTTCGGTTATGTGTTTGTTCTATGGTGTGTACTTATAATAATGAATATCTTTAGTCATAGATGTTTGTTTTGAATACGTCCTAAGCAAGGGCGGATCCGGGGGGGGGCCAAAGGGGGCCATGCCCCCCCCCCAAAAAAAAGAAACCAATTTTTTTTTTTATGTGACATCGCAATAAAGGCAGGCAATGAGTACACCACCATCTTTTCCTCAAAAAAACATTGGTTAAAGTGGTCAGAAATTGCGTCAGATCACACCACAGAGCATCTAGAATCCAACAATTTTTAAATCCTTAAGCGGGCCCCGAACCCCACGCCGTAATTTTGTTGACCAACTTTTTGGGGAGATCAAATTTTTTTTTGGCCCCCCCCCCCAAAAAAAATTGTGTTCTGGATCCGCCCTTGGTCCTAAGTTGGTGAGGGTGATAGAGTTATGTTAGAAGTTGACAAATCAGATTGACAGCCCTGGCCTATGTTCGTCATACAAATGAGACTCTGAACAGAGTATAGTATTTTACAGTGCATCTCCAAAGATCCCCCTGGCTGGCTGATATCACTAAAGCCATCACAACAATAACTATCTCTATACTACAAAATTGCGATAACATTACTTACCCGTACACATCACTCCGTTGCCAACATAACCAGTGTTGCACTGGCATATAAAGCTGCCTTGAGTGTCCGTACATTCAGCGTTCTCATGACAGACTGGCAACGATGCGGCACATTCGTCTACATTGGTGCAGTTGGTGCCGTCGCCAGTCCAGCCATCCCCACACGCACACGTGTATGACCCCACGGTGTTTGTGCAATCGGCTTCAGCATGACAGTTATCATCCAGGTTCCGTGTGCATTCATTCAGATCTATCGATATTTATTATAGAAAGTCATGTTGCGAACAACAGTTTCAGCTGAATGTGACTTCACGCCAACTTTTTGACGCTGCTTGTTCACAAAATTTGACCGCATTTTAACACCGACGGGTTTTGCTATGAAAGTTTTGTTACACCAGATTCACTTCACATTTGCATTGGTAATGAAATCGAGATAACCATGTGTTGTATCTGCTTGGTACACTGCACATTGTTTGCATCATAATCAGGCAATTAATTCCCAAATCAGTTAGTACATATGACCTTACCTTGACATGTCTTGCCATCACCTTCATATCCTGCAATGCACACACACATGTACGAGCCTATGGTGTTTTCACAGTTAGCTTTCTCGTCGCAAGTATAGGTACTATTGTCCATGCATTCCAAGAGGTCTGAGAGATTATTGGGAAAAAAATGAAAAATCATACTTTGATTCCAAATTCATGAAGATTATGTCATTTTGTATGCCTCCATTACTGGAAATACTGACTTAACAATGAAATGAGAAGAAAAGTGAAAACAGCAGAATTTCTGTGCGTATTCTTTTTTTATCATTATTTGTTTGTAATAACTGAATTTCCACAGAAGACTTTTGAGAGCTTTGCCTGACTTAAATTAAACTTCAGAAAACTTTCAAAAAGAGGATTTTGGTGCCGCATTACCGTGTGTTACTTTTCTCATTTAACTCATATTCCTCGGCTTATTATTCACCTGTCTAGGCTTAATTGCCTAGCTACACATTTTGAAACACCTGAAAATACACACAAATTCCCACAAGTCGCCACGGGTAGTGACAACTCAGATCCACAGTGTAACAAACAGTACTTCCTTTCCCAATGTTCCTCCCCTGCATTTTTGAGTTGACCACATCGTAACTTAATAACTTAATTGTGAATGATTTGCAGTTGTCTTGGCTGTGACTTTAACATTGTGGTATGTTCAGTATCATCATTTGTACAGTGGAAAGGCAAAATTACAAACGCCGTTTTATCAAACATTTGGCTATGATGAACATCCATTTTGGCTCCCAGTTTGTGTGTAGAATGTTATACCAAGCACTGACATCTGAAAATTACTATTCTGAGCTGTGTACATTTTGGATTCAAAACTTGTTTGTGTTTTATTGTTTTCTTCAATTTTGCTTAACTAAACACCGTAAAATAGAGGGGTCTTAATTTTGAATCTGATCGTCTTATGATACAGTCATTTATATATGCATTTTGAAAATGTTGTTAGCTACATTTTCATACCCCGTTTGCCAACAAAGACTGTAAATCGTCCAAGATTGACAAAGGTTTATGAAAAATGATGCAGTTTGAAAAGTTGAAAATTGAAAGAGTACGCGAGTGGCAATCGCTGCGTGACAATGTCACACTGCCTGAAACGAACGGCAGGGAATATCGCGGATCGCACAATGCTTGTATGCATGAGAGCACACGACATTGAATTAGCCGTGCTTCGTGCGGGCAATGTGTAGGGGTCAATCACGGTCATGTGTGGTTCCGCTAAGCAATTTCTCCTCGTGTAAACTTTAAATTTCCAATTTTTCAAACTGCATCAATTTTTCATAAATCGTTGTCAATCTTGGACCGTTTACAATCTTTGGTAGCAAACGGGGTACCAAAATTTAGCTAAAAAATTCACACAAAAAGGACGTCATCATCAACACGATCAGATTAAAAATTATAACCCCTCCAGTAAGTATGGACATTTTTTGCGGTTCATATCAAACCTCTGGATACTGAGTTTAAGCTGGCAGAAACGGTTGGGCTTTTAAAAGCTAACAAAAAAGCTTCTATCGCATTTTGGAAATACGCTGTTCAGGTGTCTGTAGTGACGTACATCAGCGGTCCAAATCTCTCTTTGTAACCATCCAGAGGGTACATGTATTTGTTCCCAGAGTACAAGTAATTTTGAAAACTTCTCGACTGTTTTCCATCACATACCTGTACACGACGTTCCATCCATAAAGTCGTCCCTGAAGCCTGGCTTACAGTCACACTCATAGCTGCCCTGGGTGTTGTTGCACACAGCGTTGACGCTACAGTTGTGCAGGTCCAGTTCACATTCGTCAATATCTACATCATCCAAAATAAACACAACCATTCTAAACTACTGGTTTGACAGAGTCCAAGCCTGACACACAAAAACACCGACATGCCCCAAATCCTCAGATAACAAAGGGGTAAAATCAGATTTGAATGACAATTGGAAAATTGGAAAACACCTTCAAAGAAAGAAAAATGCTAAATTGGGGTAATTCCATCTCAGTTGAAAGAACCTAGTTGAGGCTTGTTGTGTTTTGGGGGGAGGGGTGGCAGAAATTGAGGAGACAATTAGAAATTACCCTAAATATTAGTGTCTGCGTCACACAAAGTGAATGATAACTTCACCACAGGAAGGTTTCAGGAAAGCTTCAACTATAATGCCTGATATATTGGGCCTATTGCGGATACCCTTTTCTGCACTTGATCCTGATAATAATGAGATGACTTCTTATGTATTCCATCTCTCACTTTCACAACACTATAACGAGCACAACCAACTTTTTTCTACAGGGTTATCTTGGTATTTTGCAGGTTAATCTTCGTGTTTGTGAATACAAAGAACACAGTGCATACCAATGCATCGCCTGTTGTCAATGTACAAGGAGTAGCCAGATTCACAGCTGCAGTTGTAGTCCATGAGGAGGTTGTTGCAGATCTGATCGCAGCCTTGTCCACCGCTGCTGGCTGGCTCGTCTTGGTACAGCTCACACTCGTCGATATCTGCAGGAAAATCAGCAGCAAATCTAAAGGGTAACACGGTAAGTCATCCACAGTTAACGTGAGATCCTTACAACTCATTCATAAAGCACTCACTATCAAAATTAGAATCGTTCTGTAGTTTGTTGATATCATTTCTTTTGAGGGAGGGTGGTTGAGGTGGCTCGTCGCCCTCTCCATATTAATTCCAAGAACATTAGTCTCCATGTGTTGACGATGTCAACCCCTCATTCCACCCCATTAGAGGAAAAATTCTGATTCAGAAACTGTAAGAGTACTTAAGATTGGCAGAGGATGAATAATGATGACATGCTAAGGGGCTAATGTTGCAAGCTACACGCAAACCTTGGCCGACCATGCATCATGGTGCAAAAGGTTATCTGCTCCTAGCTAATTTACTTTATGCACAGGAGGATCTTTTTAACAAACTAATCCTTAGCATAGCAGCGACTATACTACATTGTACTGCATTGTCTCTATTCCCTGATGTACCCATAAATCTATACGGTCGACGAAAGTTTTTTGGGCAGAACACAGAGAGTAATAGAACATGTCGCATTTGTTTAAACAATTTAAAGTTGTGGTCATGTGATGCAAACTTGGAGCAACCTGTTCTCTCCTGCACTGCAAGTATATCTCTTGAAATATAAGTGGTTTAAAAGTGTTGACATTATTGTTGGCAAAATAACTTGCACAAAATGCTATAATTTGCATGTTGCTTGCTTAACTCAGCATATCATCACAAGGGAATAACGGGTTAAATTTCAATGCTCAAACCAAGGGAGTCTTGGCCTACCCTGACAGAACCTGCCGTCACCCTCAAGTCCTTGAGGGCAAGGTCCACAGGTGTTGTTCAACGACGGTGGCACTTCATCGAAACAAGCCACGCCCATGAAACAGGGGCCGTCCTCACATGCGTCGAAATCGACTTCACAGAACTCACCACTCCAGCCAGGATCACACTCGCATAGCACCACCTAGATATGAAATGATTGACAATGTCCAAAAATATAAATATATAAATGAATGTGAAAAACCGAAACCACTTAATTTCGTTGGTTACGTTGTTACAGATATTCACATAGCCTAATTTAGGTAGTGTCTATCAAATTGGGACTTAAAGCCTCTCAAACAGAACACCTTTCTGAGAAAACCCTGTGTTTCAGTTCGGACCCAAGCTGAACCACTACATGTTGGGAATCCCTTTCACTCTATACACAAGCATCCAACACAACTTTTACATGGGTCTGCTCTCCACAGTGGTAAGGTCGAGAGGCTCTATATCTACCTGCCTAGAAAATATGACCCAATGTATGAACTGGCAGTCAGTCAGTCAGTCGAAGAGTCGGGGAGTCATTCAGTCAGTCAGTCAGAGAGTCGGTCGATCGGAGGACAACAGGTTCGCCCTTTGGGTCCAGCAGAAATCACTAACCACTCACCCCAAAACGGTCTTCGACAACATCCGTGCCCATCACAAACTCATCCCACAGGCACGTGCCACCGTTCATGCAGTCACAGATTTGTACGGTAGGTTCGTGCGTGCCATTAGCTTTGCCATCTGTTGCTAGGAAACCAACCATGACCTTTGACTTGTCCGCTGGTGTCCATGTGAAGAGACCACCTGTAATATAATATGGAAGTGGCATTTGAGCTAGCTTTTGAAATTAAAAAAAAATTTTTTTTGCTGTACTCATGCTTTAAGATGTGTTGTCCGAAGTATTTTGTTGCCCAACAGGGTGGATTGACTGGGCTGGTGTCTGTCCCAATCATAATGGTTGATGGAATGATAACCAGGCTACTCGCAGGGCAGATCAATAATAAAAGCCTCTTTTCCCATGGTTGCAGAAGCCCACACTAGAACAGAGAGGGGGTGTTATTAAAATAAAGCATACAAGTTGAAAATTCGTTGAGAACAAAAAAAATAGTTGAAAAACATGGATAGATAAGTCCAATGGTTGACTGGTCGGTCGGGGCGGAGTAGGGTCGGGGAGGGTGGGGGAGAGGGGGGCTAGGGGCTTGTAAGCCTTGACAAGAGCTATATGCCGTTGGTTCAAGTCACACTCATTTACGGCTTATGAGTTTTTTCTCAAAGATTAATTTGACTGCAAAGCGTTACACTGCTCTTATCAAAATAATGTTGATGGAAGGCAAGGCCAAAACTACTTCGTAGAGGCTAGCTGTGTTTACCGTCTTCGGTGATGGATGCACCTTCGATTGGCTCAACCAATGCAAATGTAACATCGTCTCCATCAGGATCCACGGCTTCCAGTTGTTCTGTGAATTGCACTCCCACCATCACCCTGAAGGTATCCGAAGCGGTTATGTTTGGTGGAAAGTTGGCTGCAAATTGTGCAAAAATAGTACATTTTATTGCCCTACAGTAGAACGATACATAAAACAAATATCGATATACTTGACATTTGGCCAAAACGATCATGAAAAATGTTGGCTTCCAAATGTTTGTACAATCATACAGATCAATAATGGCCGACAATTGGTTTCACAAATGACCACTATACAAAAATTAATAATCTTTTGTGTACCCCATTGTGTCCATTGTATAGTGAAGTTCTACTGCAATTAAAATATCATTTGTATGCACGATTGCATTATGGGAAGAGCTCTGTGTGAGGGACGAGCTGCCTATATGCTGGTTTATGCACATACTGGGTGAGTAAAAAAAAACCGAAACCCAAATTGTTTTAGTGAAGTTCTGCATGTAGCGCTTTTAAAATCTAGGAAATGAAAGCCCACTTCTAGCTTGCTTTTAGTACAAAAATCATTCAAATCACTAAAGTACATTTTAAGTTACAGAATTTTAAACACAACCACTGTTTTAAGGTTCTGTCCACGGATCACAAAAAGTTCAGTGTTCTTTCAGCAAAACAAAAACAAATCACAAAGAGATGTGTGTGAATTTTTTCGTTTTGCTGAAAGAACGCACACCATGTAGAACTTCAACAAAACAATATTCCCGACATTTGGGTTTCGGTGGTTTTTTTACTCACCCTGTACAGCACGGAGTATTCACAACTTACTTGTTTATTCTGAATACTGCGCAAACCTGTGGTGCCTTCGCATGAGCATCGCCAGCGTACGGTGTCACAAGATACTGCTCAACCCTGAGTCACCAATAAAGGACTGTTGAACAACAGGATTTACTTACTTGCTGCACTTTCGCTTGCAGAGTTCATTTCATTCAGCATCACTGTAGACTGTCCGATGCTTTCATCCGCCGTCGCCAGTGTGTCAAACAAACACATCTTGTTGTCTCCGCACAGCTCTTGAGCCCTTGCAAGTTTTTCCGGAGTTGCAGCTGCTACAAGATCTTCATAGAAACTTGGCACGAAGGAGTGTTCGTTTGATAATGCCCAAGTCTCGTCACTCACATAGTAGAAGAGAGAATTCGCTTCAGTGATACGCCCTGCATGCAGCCAAAGATAATATATATTTGAACAAGAGGATAAAAAAAAACAGACTTAGGAAAACATTCTCTTTGTTTGGCAAAGAAATATCTTACATGTCTGGTAACTTTCGTGTGCAGCAGCTAAATAAAGAAACTTGAACTATATCAGGGGGTCAGGTTAATGTAGGAACACTTTCCACCCTTTCATCACTATGTGACCTTGGTTTCAATCATGTGGAATATATTTTCGGTCCCTACCTGATTGCGTGGTTTTCCTTGGAATGTCTTTGCAAAGTTTTCCTAATTCAACCTGTTCCTGATCTACCTTGAGGACTCCATTGAATCCTTCCATGGAGTATCCCGGCTGAATGCTAGATTATGATAAATAACCTAAAAATAAAGACACCATGCAAAATGATTTCTCAACGGTCAACAACTGCAATGATTGACTTACAGGTTTCACCAAATTCATAGAAGTCACTTTCAATCATCGCTCCGCCAGCACCGGTGGCTGGTTGTATAGCACCACCACGTCTGGTTGCATCATTGCTTTGGTCGCCATCCCAAATACCTGTACAGCAGATATTTAATCAATCAATCATTCATGCTACACAGACTGAGAACCTGACCTCTAATTACACGAGTATTTGAGAAGGGCAACTGCGTCAAAGTACTTGAAAACTTTATATAGGATGCTTAATTGCTTATTGGCTGCCATGTGGCTTGATGAAGCCAGCTTTACCTGTAGCCTGATTGGGCTACTCCTCCAGCATTCTTCTATGTCGTATGAAATGCAGGGCTGTATTTGTTTGTCTTTGAAGATCTCATTTAAGTAGAGCCTATACTTAATGGGACAGTAGGTCAACATCGCACCCGCTTTTCTCAGACAATAACTCTTAGTATTGTAGTTGAGTCTATTACAGGTATTAAAATCACAATATTGTAATGAACAACAAAGGAATGCCTCTGTCACAGTTCATTTGAATATACGCATGACTTGACGCGGGACTGGATGCCACTGAACTTGTGAGGACTTATAAAAGATGTGTGCATATCGCATTGAAGTCACAATGCATTGTTGAAATTTTAGGCAATCAATTCTGTATTTGGGGAATTGGTTTTCGTAATTTGAGTTGTACTCACCTAGTAATCCTTTGGTTTTTCCTCGATATGTTTGCCCAAACTGGACAGTGATGTCTCCAATGCTGTTGTTTACTCCTACTGTAAACTGAATATCGCCAGGGAACATGGTGACTACTTTGTTAGTTGACGCATCCCTTTTGACAGTCACATTGCCAATTAGCAATCCTAAAAAGGGTGAATGAAAATACAACTCATCACTACTGATGAAAAAAAAGCCAGTGAAAAATCCTTTGTAACAATTTTTTTCACCAATATAATACTAGGTTAAGTGTTACTCAAGTTTTATCTTTATTAAGGCTCCTGAACTAAGAAACCACGACAGGCACAAGGGCTGCTTGTTGCATTCTCAAAACAAAACTGAGAGGTATGGTATAAAGGTACAGGGTGAGTTCAAAGAAAGCGGAACCCAAACCCCCAAAATATATTTCATATAAAAAAAAATGTAGCACCAAACATAATAACGACTGGAAAGCCAAGTTCATAAGCTACTTTTAGATGAAATATAAATTGCTGAAATTGCTCAATCTATTCAACAAAATTTCACCATTTTAAACGCAATGACCTTAAAACCTGTCTCGTCCAAAAAAAAGCAATTTATTGTATGTTTTGACTGTTTGGAACAACAAAGAAAATGACACAGAGTACTTGTTTCAACAACTGTCAACAACTGTAAAACACAATATCGTTATCAACAACCCTGGTTAGGCAAACAATATGATTTATAAAATCCCCCTTTTTTTTAAAGACGGGCCTTCAAAAGGACTTTGTTCAATATTTTTTACTTTTAAACTGGGGTCTTATCTTTGGTGATGTTTGAAGACAACTGTGACGATGATTTTTGAATCGCATTTTTGAACAAGCAATTTAAGTAATTTTTTTTCATCAAAAAGTAGCTTATGAAATTGGTTTTCCACTGTCCAGTCATAATTATTTTGGGTTTTACTCATTTGTTTAAATAAGAAATTTAATTTGGGGGGTTTAAGTTCCGCTTGTTTTGACTCACCCTGTATGATGTCATCTGAAAGGCTCAACAAGGGTCTCGTAACAGGTTGTAGGTTCAATGAAGAATCACTAGAGGTGAAGGATTGCTTGATCAGCACAGATTGTGTAATAATATACCTCTATTAATCAGGGTGGATGCACCGGATCAAATTAAACTCTATCAACTGCAAATGTACCTGCTGTTGTAGGCGTGACAACGTCTCCGTTGACAGTTGTAATCAGACCATCAGCGTTCTCTCTTTTGTTTAATTTCACTTCAACCTGCGGGGAAAAAACACTTCTTATTGAAATATGACAGGTTAGGAAAGCTAGGGCATTGTTTCCTTTCAACTAAACATATTCCAAAAGTGCTCGATCCAGTGCAAAATACGTGCAGAAAATGTGAATTTTGTTTTGTTTTGGGACTAGGTTTTTGCATTTTGTAATACGCGTACCGTATTTTGAAAGGAAAACAAATAAGCGCAAAGATCACAATGTTTCTCCCAAATAACATGTACATGTTATTTGGGAGAAAAATTGTGCATGTGGGAGTTTCTATATTTAAAAATGCCATAACAATTCTAGCTGTTAAGAAATATATTTTCAATCGTATAGATATTGGAACAAGGAGTGTATAGCTATCCTTTCTAATCTACAAAATAAATTTAAATATATTTCCCCTTACTTTGTCAGATGAATTGGCATTTTAACATGTAGATTCAAAAGAATGACCAAGTTCATAGCAACGTGCCAAAAACAAGCATGTCAATTATCTACTTAATTAGCTACAGCTGGAAATTACTCAAGTTTAATAATCAGGTGCAATTCAAATTCAATATAGAAAAATATATTGAACTGTTGCTACATATTCATAATTGAAAGTGAAGTGTTACAAACCCTCCCTTCTCCTGGATACTCTGCAGCAAACCCAGAATAGAATGTTGCATCCGTTAGTTGACCAGTTTCTACATTGGTAGCTCGCTGCGTTCTGCCTTGTAGTTCAAAGATTATCCCTCCGTTGTCGTCTTGGATTAGTGCTACTGTGTATTCACCAAGACCATTGAAGGTGTACTCAACTCCATCCAGGGTTTTGATGTGGGGGTCTCCCCAGAACCAGACTTTTGAGAATTTCCAAAAAGAAAAAAACATTCGGCCAAATTAATTTGACTCAATGCCTGCATTTCCATCTGTTCTATGAAATCAGAAAATGGTCTGAGAGGTTTCAAAACAATCTGCCAGACTCTCTCAATGATTATTGGACCAACCATAATTGTGCATATCTAATTAGTAACTACGCAACCTTTTCCATTGACAAGAACAAGGGCTCAGGCGTGGACCTTTGGAGTGGGTTTTAAACTAAAACTCCCTCTGTCGCAATGATTTGAAAATGTGCAGATGTAGTCAGAATGGATATCATTGATTGGACAGCCGTGATCTGAAAGGTGCGGAATATTCTTCATCAACCCTTGCCTGCGTAAAAGTAACAACAACAACGGCTTCTTAGAGTTCTTCAATAATGCCAACTTACACCAAAATGGTGGTTGATATCTCCAGCAACTCATGGCCGGTCTGTAGTAATTGTAGAGGTTGCAGAGTGTAGAAGCTGAACAGCAGTAATACCGAGGCAGTACTTCCTTATCTGTGTGCAAAAACACGAAGTTTGCTTAATGGCGGTTCAAACAAAACAACAATTATGGAACGTACCCCAGTATTGCTTCTTTCTTGAAATCAAACATCAGATCAACATATTAGATTCACGACTAACAACACCTAACTGCCACAAAACTAGGGCCTAATGTCACATAGCTCCTGTAAACAGAACACACGGCTTTGGATATTGACATGCTATGCACAATTGTTTTTTTGTGCAAATATCGGCCGACAATCAGTCTTTAGCAATGTGCACTGCATGAAATTTGGCTGGAAAACCTGTTTTATACTTGTCAAATATTTTCCTTTTTGTGTGTGTGACATAAAGCAGCTCCGTGAGGATGCCATTGATGAATCTATTAAATGTCTCTCATCTGTGGGTCGATTCAAACATGCCTCATCTCCCGATATCTGACAGAGCTTGCTTCTCATTTGTATTTCAGCATTATTTGGGGTTCTCTCTTAATACGTACTGTTAAATGTTCAAGCTTAGGTTCTGTCTTGGTACAACTGTCCGTGTGTACTTGTTCTTGTTTAGTCCATCCAATATATATGTTCGCCGTTTACATCTTTTTGACAATTCTATTTACTGATTTATTTACTTATTCGTGTATTATAATGCTTGTATTTCTCATTTGGTATGGAAATTATTGTGAGTTTGAATTGAATTGAATAAAATTTTAAATACTGAAATTTCACTTTGACATGTGCATTTTGATGGAAGCTAGGTTGCTCCCATCCCAGCTGCCATTGTACATGTATAAGCAAAGGTCAGACGTTGTTATAGTTCAGATGTAATGGTCTCTGGTTTAAATCTAATGTTGCAAAGCTGTTGGGGACATTCAATTATTCAATTGGGCGCTTTCGTATTAAGTGCTTACCAAACCACTGGTTAAACAGACTAGGTGTGTAAAACAAGGGACTGACTGGATAATGCTCAAAGACAGAAGCAACTATTGCATTCCTGACGCCCCGGAGAAGACTCCATGTTTGTGTGCTGTAGCAGCATAGCGGGCCCGGGGTATTAGGAAACTGAAACGTCCGGACATAGCAAACAGCAGCTGCAAGAAAATTACAATCAATTAAAGAAGTAAACTGGGAGTTATTAGCACGCAAGGAGGTTATACGTCTTAAATAAAGAGAGGGTCAAGTATAATCAGAATTTTGTTTGTGAAAAATGAAAGTGTAGGACTTTCATGTCGAGGATTTGACAATTTCGTCTTTGCGAAATTGAACAGCAAAATGTATTTGGAGATTGTGTCTGCTTTTAGTCAAGGATCCTAACATCTCACCATCCAGTTTTTGTCATGTAAATATTTGGCTCATTTAAATAGTTTAATAAGTGTCAGACTTGTTTTAATTGTTATTTAGTTTAAAAAAGGACCGCACATTCAAAAATGAAAGTAAAGTGTCCACCACTGTTCATGAGGTCATTCAAACATGCCCCAAACATGCCCTTATGATGTAAGGAGGAAGTGGATAAGCTACTCACCGACTGATGAGCTGCTTCCTGAATCGGGAAGGAAATAACTGTAACCGATGTATGCCCATCTTGGGTCGAAAATTGCCTGGAACCAACTGCATGGACAAGTGTGAGCAGTCGCAAACCAGTAGGAAAGGATAAAATTATCAACAACCTGCTCACTGTACCAGTTCCGACAGAACAAGCGGGGATTGACAAAATCGTCTGACAGGCTGTCCAGTCGGTGGACCCAGCGCCCGTATATCCCGGTATTCCCAACCATATTTCCTGGTCGGAAACGCAAGTCACTCGGTATGTCCAGGTAGAATTCAGTGCCAGGTTGTCCGCAGGTGAAGCCCTGGATGACGTTGTCGTTAGGCAGAAGGTCTTTGTTCCAGTTCATGCCGCAGCGCTCGTAGTTGAAGATGACATAGCCATGAGTGTAATCTGTCACAAGCACAGCTTGGAAAGAGTTGGTACTCTGAACAGAAAAAAATAGTAAAGATAAGTCCATTGTAAGTGGCAACACATACAATGTATATCTTTAAAATATTACATCAACCGATTTTGCGACCAGCTTCTCGAAATTGTCTGTTTTTGACAGAAAATGTCACAAATACTTACTTTATCGGGTGAGAGGGCTTCTACATAGCGCCATGTGATGACTAGGGCCCAGGCTGCAGTGAAGCTGCAGTCATAGTGGGCAGTCACGATGCCACTCAACGTAGACAACATGGTGGAACTACTGTCATCATATACCTGGGGGGGAACCAAAGGACCAAACTTGGGGTTTTTTTTGGTTAATTAGGCTCTGTGCACAAGCGTCCTTTCACTCAAGTACAAGGAGAGGAAGACGATTCGTAAGTTTAAAAAAAATGTGGAAGTTTGTACACATTCAGAATGTGGGGGAATCAGGTTGGTGTCCTGGTACTTTCCTCGCCTTCGACCGCTATGACCCAGGTTCGAATCCCGCCTGAGCCAACATGTGGATTGGGTTTTCAGTCCCTGCCTGACTCTGTGGGTTTCCCCACGAATGTTCTTCTGGGGTTTTCCTCCAAACTCTAAAACTGTACTTTCTTCTCGTTGTCTTCTTTCTACAGGTTTCTTCAGGCTACGGAGCTACAGTGCTTATGGCGTTTTTGAGGAATCCTTCAACAAAAGCTTCTTTTAAACCAAGCCACTTTATGACTTGGGTGAAGATGAGTGCTGCTGAGCATTGTTAATAACCTAAGTTGAGTAGCTTTGTTTGGTTGATTGAATAAAAGTACGCAGTTTGATTTTACGTAGTCCAAGATGGAATGGATGAGGTTTCAACCCTGAATCAAACTCACCTGAAAGAAGACATCCCTTGTCGGAAAAAACCTTCTGCTGTTGACGTCTGCCCAAAAGGGAGCTACCATTTTTGTTGGGCCACTGAAGAATGTTTTTGTGGTACTTGGGTAACTGCGTTTATATAGACTTTGCTCGTTTGAAAAGACAATGACGCCATTATCTGTGAACTGATAAAACAGACGACCAAAGATGTGTCATCAGGACCATAAAATAATTCCAATGTTAGATTTGGACGTGGGTCCAGTTTCAAGACAATGCAAAGCACACAAGAGCATACATCAAGGGAAACTTCATAATAACATTAGCTCCATGTACATGTAACCGTCAGCATAATATTTGCACTTATTATTAGGATTAGTTGTTATCATTGTGCCAAACACAGATGCTACACCTTCAATCGCTAAGAAAGTACACTATTTTCTCACTCATTAACGCTAGCGATACACTTTTATAATCACAGAATTATAGCAGAACGTTAACGCAAGAATGGGATCCCTAATAAGCTTGTCCAGTAAGTGGTTTTTTTTGTTATAGCAAGTGTGGCTGCCAATACTCAGTATAAATATTATTACATCCAATTTGAAAGTACTCTAGGTTTTCATTTTAGCGAGCTCTACTGCATTTGATTGATAAAATACGGGCCACATAAGCCAATATCTTCAATTTCAAAACAGGGGCCAATTTCACGGCACTGCTAAGCACAAATATTTGCTTAATACAAAAAAGGTGTGGCTTTTAAAAACAGGTTTTCAGCCAAAACTCCATGTAATGTATATTGCTCGAGATTAGTATTCAGCTGTTGTTTACTTAGCATGACAATCACATGGAGTTTTGGCTGATAGCCTGCTTTTATAAGCCAATTTTTTTTCTGTGCTTAGCAAATTGTTGTTCTTAGCAGCGCCGTGAAATGGGGTCCGGGTGTTATGTTCCATAAATTGCATTTTTGTCATGCTTTTTATTTGTCATACTTACATAGATTTTCTCATGCAGCTCATTGCAGAAAGGAAAGAAATTTGGCGGGCTGATGGTCCGTGAGATCATATCTTTGTTAGAGGACAGCGATGACTGTTGGGACAAAAATGAAAGCATTTATATTACATTGTGTTACATTGGGATTCAATGGCTTAGAATGTGCTGGGGTGGAATGGAGAATTGAGCAGCTTCTTTTTACCACTGCAATATCCCACTTTACAGCACCATTGGCCTCTCTTAACCAAATCCTTCCGTCTGTCATTTTATAATGACAGACGGAGTCAGCGAGTTCCTTGCACTATAACCAGGATGCCGCAGGCAGGTGGAGCTCGTTAGATGTGGCTGCAGTTCGCCTAGGAGAAGGACCACTCTTATCACAACTCAGGGTGGAACTCGTTAGCCTAAGTCGGCAAGCTGCCTAGGAGAATGACAAATCTGCTGATCACAAACCTGCAGTAGAACTCGTTTATAGCCTTGGTTGGCTCTACCAAGAATCACCTGATCGGGTAGTGCCAAGAGTGGTAGCGCGCATGGCCCGTCGGTGTGCAGGCACGTCCCGGCACTCATCACAACTAACCCCCCCCCCCCACCTATTCGGCAAAATAGGAAAAGTACCCCTGGGTTAGGTGCTTTCAAACACCAGGCAGCTACTGTTGAGCATCTTCAATGCATCTGCTCCTGTGCCCAAGCACTTTACTGGTAGTGGATCACGTCTTGTGAAGTCTTCATTGTCGTCTCCCAAATTTACATCGCAGGGAACAAGTCAGTGCAGATGGACTCAGCTATGGGTGGTGGCCGGGGGAGGCTCTTCTGATTTCTGACCCCGACCGCCGAGCAGTGCTGAGAGGACCAGCGACCCACAGCACTTATGAAGGGCCCTTGTGATGACTCCCAATATGCAAATCCTATACCCCCAGTAGCGGGAGTCTGCAGGGACCAGCTTGGCAGCTTCCTACGCGTTTCACCAAGCCTGATGACGGTGCGCTCTTAAACCAACTCTTAAGCTTCTCAGATGCACGAATTAATGATCTCATTCTTTCCACCTACAACACCTAGTCCATGACCAACAAAAAGGTGGGCTTGGACAAGAGGCACAAGCTGGCTTCTTCCTAATACAACTAGAAGTGGCAATGTGCGGAATACAGGAACACAGAATTGTCCACAAGGATGAAATGAGTGAGCATCTGGTCTCTGTACGGCAAGAGAACGGCTACATGCTCTACACCTCCTCGACCTGGAGGAACTCACAGGGCGGGAAGAGGAGGGAGCAACAACGGCCGGCATCGGTAAGGGGCTGAGCCCAGTCGCTGCCAAGATGCTAATCAGCGCAAGTCGTGTGTTCGGCACTCTGAGCTGGAAGCCTCCTCCCTCATCTTTTGGGAACCAACCCAAGGAAAGGAGTCCAGGGCCAAGAGAAGGACAACCTACATCGACGTCCTGAAGAGAGACACAAGAGTTCCCAGAGCTGACGACCTGTTCTCCTGCATGGAGCACCGATCAGACTGAAGGGAGAGAATTAGAGGGGCCCGAGCTGCTGGAGGACAGCCCCCTGCCAGGATCTGAATAGGTCTTACATTGTATTACATGCTGGGATAGTTTTGGGTGGTACAGGGAGTAACAGGTAGGAGTTTGGGGCAGTTAAGACACTAATGAGTTAACAACCCATTCACAACTGAATAATGATTTTACTACATTGTCTTATTCACAAATAAACCCAACAAACCACATGTAGAGTAGCCTACTCGGGTGGTTTGGCATTACAGGGAGTTAAACAGGGTGTGTCACTTATTCACTGGGCGGTAATGATTAATGATATAATATCCATACTGACAGCGTGTTTTGTAAGGTGTACAGTTAAAATCAGGTTTCAAAGTTGATACAAATCAAATATCAAGAAACTTGGGTTATTTTAATGACATGATGTATTACTTACTGGTTGTGTTTCCTCCGAAAGGCGACTATCTCCAACTGCGACTCCAAAGGGAACAAAATTGCCCTCTGTTTTTAAAAGAGATGAAATCATTTTTAAAAAAATGTGACCCTTGAATCCCATTTTATGGACCAAATGCACACACTTATAGATGGCTCATTGGGACAACTTAAAAGAATTCCTAGAACTGAACACATCTCGTATACATGAGTACAATGGTTCAAGCGTGTAGGTGTGAAGTATGCACAAATCTCAAATTTCAGTGGCATGTGCAGTTTGAAATGCTCCGAATGCATCACTGAGTATTCTGTGGAGCAATTGGGTGACGTAGGTGAGCATGCAGCTTCTAAGTAATGGTCAAATATCACCCCCGCAATTGCCCGTTTCCACAAATCTACCCATATCTCAAAAACTTCGGTTTAATGCCAGCACGTAGTGTTTTCCTGCTCAGTTTCAGGAATCACGATGAAAATTTGCAAATTAGGAACAACATCACAGCCCTCCTCCAAAAAAATGTGATTTAAACAGAAACAAGTCATTCGCAGCGACAAAATCATAATTATTAGTCAAAATGAAGCGATCACTAAAAAAAGGCAATTTCAATAAGCAGAAATATATGACCCAGCGATATTTTTGCTAAAAACCAGTCCCATATTGAAAACCAGTCCCAGACTCTTATAACACATGACATGATTTGTCTGTTGCCTGAATTTGTAACACAAATATTTTCTTTTGTTTGAAAACGTTTGTATGTGCATGGCAGCACCACGACATTGGCTCCGATTCACCATGAAATTGGTTCCAATTGGCTGAATTTAACAAAATTGCCAATTAAAAAAATACTGCTCTGCTGATAGAGAAAAAAAATCAGCCATGAACTCAGTGGAATTCGGTCACATTTTCCTAGCTTTAAAACCCTTTTCTTGTTAACGGAGAACCAACACTCATGAATTTCTTACCATAGACACTGAATGAGAAGCTCCTTGATGTGCTGCAGATTTCAACCGTAACACCGCAGGTCACTGTGTGAGATCCAAGACCAAAAGACATGCCTCCGCTCAGAGGCACAGCATTTCCGTTCTGATTGGTACAACTGATGGATTGGCCATCCAAGTATGTGCCTGTCACTGCAGGCCAAGAAACTACGACATCATTCTGTCCAGGCAGGGTACACTGGTCAGCAACCGATGGCACCGTTATGCGTGGCTGTGCTGTGGAGACCAATGGATTAATGACTGAATGTAAATCTCGAGGTATGCGAATGTTTCAAATTCTCAATGAAATCCACAGGTGGAAAAACTTCAATCAAACAAACTACAGAGGGAAACTCACTAGGTGCATAACAAGATTTAAAAACAATTAAAGTTGAACAAAGAAATTGACTGGGGCGAGGTTTGAACCTGTGACCTCCGGGTTACCGTTCTGGCACTCTACCAACTGAGCTATTAAATACACTTTCGACACAAGCTTCAATGAAGCCCTTAGTATGGCACAATTGATAGTGAGGCTGAACTGCCAAGTTAAAGGTTTAATGGCAAAGACATTTCTCTGGATATCAGCAGTTTTCCCATCAAATAAAAATTACCGAGAGTAGAAAATCAGGGAAGGAATTTGACAGCATTTTATTCTATCCACTCCATTCACAAGTACCCCCTCACCGGCAAAGAAAGTACAGTTGAGGGTGACCGACCGACGCCATCTTGCCTGACTGCAATTTAGTGCCGCTGTAGCGTGAAAATCCGACTCCATGAAATGTGGACTCATTGGTAGTATTGCGCACGCGTGGGTATGATACTATGCTATTTTTAGGATCGTTTAAGGAGAGTGACCTGTCACGTGCGAGGGATTCACCAATAATAGGGAAAAAGGGGTCCGATTTTCATAGGAGTCGGATTTTCATGTGACACCGCGACGCGCGGCCGTACCACTGCGTGTACATCGAACAAATCCCCTGGTGTACGTGCGTCACACACAAGGAACGGTGCGTGTCAACCAGCTACATGTCTCACCCATGGGACGTCGTTGCTAGGTAAAAGGGCGCCCTCTTTGTTGGCGCACGGAGCTCATAGGACAAGCGAATGTCAGAATTTTGCTAGTGGACACTTACACCTTCACAACACTGGTTAAAAAAACACAGGAAAGTTATTACGTGTTAAGTAAGCCTTCCCATGTCTTGAATTTTGGACTTGTTCTTACCGAATACATAGAAATCGAAGGCTCCTACTGCCGTGCAGCCAGCATTATTGGTGACAACGCAGGTGTGGACGTGTGTATAGTATTGCAAGTACCACCAACCCCCTGTGAGGGGCATGGAGATTCCCCACGCTATACAGACGATTGGGTTGTTGTCGCTGTGCAGGGCGGTCACTTGGGGCCATGACACCTGGGCATACACCCACCACGGGACCGCACAACGATCAGCTACGGTTGGCAGGTTAAGAATCGGTGATTCTGTGTTGTTAAAAAAGGGGGAAATTTTTAAGAAACGTTTTGCACGCTGTTCAATGCAACACAGACTTTTACAAACCACCAAAATGAATCATTTACATTACAACTTATACTTTATCAATCTTCACACCAAATCCCCAGGCTGGACTCGAACCCACTCCACACAAAACTTTAATGAGCTTTCTTACTTACGTCGGACAGTGAACGAAAAGCTTTTCGAATCTTCACAACCATTGATGGTGACCTGACAGGTCACGGTGTGAAAACCGACAGAAAAGGCGATACCGCCACTGAGAGGCACTGCAACTACTCCTTCACTGCATGAGATGGCTTGTCCACCCAGGTTGGTGTCAGATACTGCAGGCCAGCTCACAGAGGCAGTAGCTACGCCGAAATCAGTGCACTGGTCGTCCACATTGGGCACTATTAGCGATGGAGATGCTGCGGACAAAACAAAACAAAATACTCGTAATGCAGATCATATCTGGGTGGAGTTTAATACATTTTTAGATTGTTCCAACCCAAAACTTTCCTGGCTGTTACTTCTGTATACCGCCCCAACACTTTGATGGACTCATCTGGGAATAAATACAATGTAATGGAGTGTAGTAGAAGTACTAATGGTTAACTCCGCTGTGAGTTTTGTGGCTATAGCTGAGTGGCATGCTGAGTTGTGGAGTAGGGTTCCTTCAAATGCTTTCCGGTCTAGTTGGACCAACAATTTTCAGTTCTGGACATATTTCCTACTACAAGGTTTCACTTTGCTTGCTTCCCTGGGAAGACGGCTTTGCTGCCTGCCGCTTTGCTTGGATTGAAGAGCAAGGATGAGGCACCCCTCTTCCCAACAGACTAAGATGAGGACTGACATGTAAGTCTCACCTGCAACACCAACTGCAAAGCTTTTTGATGCCGTGCAACCACCGTTATTTGTCACTGTGCAGGTTACGGTGTGACTTCCTACCGGGAAGGTACCTCCAACCAGAAACACAGACAATGCACCCGATGTACACTGAATGGTTTGACCATCGGTGTTGGTGGCAGTTACTGAACTCCATGTTACGGTAACTGTTGCCTGATCGGTGCAGATAACAGGGCCCACGGGCACTGAAATTGATGGTGACGCTATTGGGAGAAAAAAATACCCAAAAAGTGAGATGTGATCTTCATATATCCCAAGAGGCAGCAGTAGTTTTTTTGTCAATCAGCATGAACATCAAAGCACAGTGTTCAATGCCATCATAACTGAGGCATTTATTACCGTAATCAAATGGTCAGCTCTCAAAAGAACTGTTTTATTTATGATCCCAGGATGTCTATCAGTGTTAAGTTCTGATACACATTAAAAACAGGGTTTCCACATTTGCTTCAAAATTGAATATCCTGTCATCAGAGGCAAAAGTTTTCATAAACTATGCATGAGCTAAAATATACTGCAGCTACAAAATATAATGCCTGATACCTGATACAACAAATGTGAAGCTTTTTGAGCCTGGGCATCCATCGGAATTGGTAACGCTGCACGTGATAGTGTGTGATCCTGCCCCAAAGGTTCCACCAGAGGTCGTCACTCCAGTTCCGCCTCCAGAATCAGTACAAGTGATGCTTTCACCCACAGCATCGGTGGCAGTCACAGCGGGCCAAGTCACAGCTACTGTAGCAGAACCTTCATCGGTGCACTGCGGACCCACCGTGGGCACAGTCAGAGACGGGGAAGCTGTGTCGAACACAATATCAAATGCCTTTCAAAAATTGTTAAAATGTAAGGCTGAAAGAAAATACTTTATTAGGACTTCATTCTGTGGCCTCTGGAATACTGTACCGGTGTTTTATCAATTGAACTATACCAAGCCCTATGTTGACAGTCTTCCAACTTGTCAATGTGTTTGTTCAAGGAGCACCGGTCAGAAGTCATCAGTCTACACTCAACCAAAAAAAAATCCCCCTTCCAATACTTTTGTCTAACTGAAAAACTACTGGGCACATCTTGCTTAAATTACGACTGATCTGTACAGACATTCCTTAGCAATCCAGCCATACTCTTTGTTTAGCCCACAACAGTGATAATGTGTACAAAATTATGCAATTTATGACAAATGGTACCGGGAAAAAAAGTTGCACTTTTGTATGCGTGCAAGGTGAGTGTGGAAAACAACTTCCACGTATACAAAAGTGCAACTGGTTTCGGTATCATTTGTCATAAATTGCATATATTCGTACACATTACTACTGTTTTGGGCCTAATAAAGAGTACAGCTGGATTGCTAAGGAATTGTTGTACTGATTAGTCGTTATTTGAGCGAGAGGTGCTCATTAGTTTTTGAGTTAGACAAAAAAAGTATTGGAAGGGGGGACTTTCGTTTTTGGTTGATTGTATATGCAGCATGTAGCCAGGGATCACGCCAAAAGACATGATACAAGCAACATGAGTAATTCTGCTGACCTGGGTATGGCGAACAGGGATCACATATGAAGGAAATTTACTTAAAAACTAACAAGTAAAAAGGAAATGGACCGGGGGAAAATACAATGCATATTAGGTTGAACATATATAAATTTACTAAGCGGGACTCAAACTTCCATTGAATTGGCATTCAACCAACTAAACTATATAATATGGTGGCAGTATTCCTATGTCTTGGTTAAGAATGCTGCCAAATTTTGAGACAGATGATTTGCAGGATCAATTTCACAATACATTTAGCAGAATTAATGGTTCCAGACTTGTTCAATACCTGCTACAACAAACGTGAAGCTATTGGAGCCTGTGCAACTGCCAGAATTAGTTACAGCGCACGTGACTGTATGCGATCCTACTCCAAAGGTTCCACCAGTGGTTGTCACACTGGCTCCATCTCCAGAATCACTGCAAGAGGTGCTTCCACCCGCAGCATTGGTGGCAGTTACGACAGGCCACGTTACAGAGGCTGTAGATGCAGCAGCATCTGCACACTTAGAATTCACCATTGGCACATTCACAGTTGGTGTAGCTGTGTACATGACATTTGATAAGTATCAATTAATGTCAAAGTTGACAACAATACGACGAACAAATTTTGCACAACGGACATTAAAAGGAAGAGTAAACATTTCTCCACACATTTTGTCCACATTTGTTTAATGTAGCAAGGTGAAAAACACATATATGCTCTTTGAAATGCATGAAAACAAATAAGTGAAAAAATGTTCTTTGGACTTTACTACATGGGGTCCTGTCCAACCATTCATCAAATGAATTTGAAAGCCAGTGCTGCCAAATGAAATAATCATATGAATAAGATAATAAGGCTTTGATAGAGCCCATTTCTTATTCTCTCAGTATACTGAAATACAGTGTGAGGTGATAAGTAGGACAAAATACAGGTTTAAAGGCTTGGATTCACATCTGGAAGTACTGACATTACCCTTGTGCGAATCTTTCTTATGAATTGCAAGCACGCAAGAAAACTATTTCTCATTTCATAAAGACATGGACTAGAATTCGTGTCAGCGCTTTTTTTGAAAATAATTTGGCACGTTCTGTACCCCGTTTTTATATACTCAGAATTCGTGTCAGCGCTATTTTTTACAAATAATTTGGCACTTTTGTACCCCGTTTCAAAACACGTTTTGCGCTTATTTTTGTAAGGTCTAACAGTTAGACCTGATACAAGAAATATGAAGCTATTGGAGCCATACCTGATACAAGAAATGTGAAGCTATTGGAGCCATAGCAACCCTCGGAGTTGGTTACACTGCACGTGATTGTGTGTGATCCTACTCCAAAGGTGCCACCAGAGATCGTCACTCCAGTTCCGCCTCCAGAATCAGTACAAGTGATGATTGCACCCACAGCATCGGTGGCAGTCACAGCGGTCCAAGTCACAGGAAGTGTTGTTGCACCAACATCTAAACACTGCTGGCTGACGGTCGTCACATTCAAAGATGGTGGTGCTAAAAAAAACAGCATCAATGGTCAATTGCGTGCTAACAGGGACATGAACATCCCTATCGTGTCCAAATTGTAAATCTTTATATATATGCAGTGTATGAATTCAGATTTTTACAATCGCCTGATCAATAAGAGTCCATTTGTTCACAGTCTGTATTTGGATTAAAATTGTCCTGACTTTGTAACTGTCATAGCTGTCCTCACCAAAATAAGGTAATCGTTTTTGTTGGGACAATAAACCCAACTATCTTGGCCGATCTCCCGGTCGAACAAAACACATCTCTAAATACTGGCTTTCCCAATTATTGAGGGTTTTTCTTCGCGTCTGTAGACCGGCACCTTTGAATGGATTCTAGAGAAAATGTGCTACGTCGTCGTCGTGGGAAAATCCTCAGATTTTGCTGACTGCGTCCACATTAGGGCGATACACATTATTATGGGGACATATAACTGTCGCCTTTTTGTAAAAACGACTCTTAGGAAAGGAATGTTGGTGTCGCAAACCATCGACTATGATTATTATTAGAACAATATTATATAATATAGAAGTATCATAATTATGTAACCAATCTCTTACCACATACAGTTGTTTGCGAACTTGAAATTGCTTCATTAAGAGCGGTGGGTGTTTCATCAGGAGGTGTGGTTGGCGCATCAGGAGGGGTGGTTGGTTCATCAAGAGGTGTGGTTGGTTCATCCGGAGGGGTGGTTGGTTCAACAGGAGGGGTGGTTGGTTCATCAGGAGGGGTGGTTGGTTCATCAGGAGGGGTGGTTGGTTCATCCGGAGGGGTGGTTGGTTCATCAGAAGGGGTGGTTGGTTCATCAGGAGGGGTGGTTGGTTCAACAGGAGGGGTGGTAGGCTCATCAGGTGGGGTGGTTGGCCCATCAGGAGGGGTGGTTGGTTCATCGGGAGGGGTGGTTGGTTCATCCGGAGGGGTGGTTGGTTCAACAGGAGGGGTGGTTGGCTCATCAGGTGGGATGGTTTGCTCATCAGGAGGGGTGGCTGGTTCATCCGGAGGGGTGGTTGGTTCATCGGGAGGTGTAGTTGGTTCATCAGGAGGGGTGGTTGGTTCATCAGGAGGGGTGGTTAGTTCAACAGGAGGGGTGGTGGGCTCATCAGGTGGGGCGGTTGGCTCATCAGGAGGGGTGGTTGGTTCATCCGGAGGGGCGGTTGGTTCATCCGGAGGGGTGGTTGGTTCATCGGGAGGGGTGGTTGGTTCATCGGGAGGGGTGCTTGGTTCATCAGGTGGGGTGGTTGGTTCAACAGGAGGGGTGGTGGGCTCATCAGGTGGAGTGGTTGGCTCATCAGGAGGGGTGGTTGGTTCATCTGGAGGGGTGGTTGGTTCATCGGGAGGGGTGGTTGGTTCATCAGGAGGTGTGGTTTGCTCATCAGAAGGGGTGGTTGGTTCATCAGGAGGGGTGGTATGCTCATCAGGAGGTGTGGTTTGCTCAACAGGAGGGGTGGTGGGCTCATCAGATGGAGTGGTTGGCTCATCAGGAGGGGTGGTTGGTTCATCAGGAGGGGTGGTTGGTTCAACAGGAGGGGTGGTGGGCTCATCAGGTGGAGTGGTTGGCTCATCAGGAGGGGTGGTTGGTTCATCCGGAGGGGTGGTTGGTTCATCAGGAGGGGTGGTTGGTTCATCAGGAGGGGTGGTTGGTTCATCAGGAGGGGTGGTTGGTTCAACAGGAGGGGTGGGGGGTTCATCAGGAGGGGTGGTTGGTTCAACAGGAGGGGTGGTGGGCTCATCAGGTGGAGTGGTTGGCTCATCAGGAGGGGTGGTTGGTTCATCCGGAGGGGTGGTTGGTTCATCAGGAGGGGTGGTTGGTTCATCAGGAGGGGTGGTTGGTTCATCAGGAGGGGTGGTTGGTTCAACACGAGGGGTTGTGGGCTCATCATGTGGGGTGGTTGGCTCATCAGGAGTGGTGGTTGGTTCATCCGGAGGGATGGTTGGTTCATCGGGATGTGTGGTTGGTTCATCAGGAGGGGTGGTTGGTTCATCAGGAGGGGTGGTTGATTCAACAGGAGGGGTGGTGGGATCATCAGGTGGGGTGGTTGGCACATCAGGAGGGGTTGTTGGTTCATCCGGAGGTGTGGTTGGTTCATCCGGAGGGGTGGTTGGTTCATCAGGAGGGGTGGTTGGTTCATCGGGAGGGGTGGTTGGTTCATCAGGAGGGGTGGTTTGCTCATCAGGAGGGGTGGTTGGTTCATCAGGAGGGGTGGTTTGCTCATCAGAAGGTGTAGTTGGCTCAACAGGAGGGGTGGTGGGCTCATCAGCAGGGGTGGTGGATTCATCAGGTGGAGTGGTTGGCTCATCAGGAGGGGTGGTTGGTTCATCCGGAGGGGTGGTTGGTTCATCGGGAGGGTTGGTTGGTTCATCAGGAGGGGTGGTTTGCTCATCAGGAGGGGTGGTTGGTTCAACAGGAGGGGTGGTTTGCTCATCAGGAGGGGTGGTTGGCCCAACAGGAGGGGTGGTGGGCTCATCAGGTGGAGTGGTTAGCTCATCAGGAGGGGTGGTTGGTTCATCCGGAGGGGTGGTTGGTTCATCAGGAGGGGTGGTTGGTTCATCAGGAGGGGTGGTTGGTTCATCGGGAGGGGTGGTTGGTTCATCGGGAGGGGTGGTTGGTTCATCAGGAGGTGTGGTTGGCTCAACAGGAGGGGTGGTGGGCTCATCAGGTGGAGTGGTTAGCTCATCAGGAGGGGTGGTTGGTTCATCCGGAGGGGTGGTGGGATCATCAGGTGGGGTGGTTGGCACATCAGGAGGAGTGGTTGGTTCATCCGGCTGTGTGGTTGGTTCATCCGGAGGGGTGGTTGGTTCATCAGGAGGGGTGGTTGGTTCATCAGGAGGGGCTGTTTGCTCAGCAGGAGGGGTGGTTGGTTCATCAGGAGGGGTGGTTTGCTCATCAGGAGGGGTGGTTGGTTCATCAGGAGGGGTGGTTGGTTCATCCGGAGGGGTGGTTGGTTCATCAGGAGGGGTGGTTGGTTCATCGGGAGGGGTTGTTGGTTCATCAGGAGGGGTGGTTTGCTCATCAGGAGGGGTGGTTGGTTCATCAGGTGGAGTGGTTAGCTCATCAGGAGGGGTGGTTGGTTCATCCGGAGGGGTGGTCTGTTCATCAGGAGGGGTGGTTGGTTCATCAGGAGGGGTGGTTGGTTCATCGGGAGGGGTGGCTGGTTCATCGGGAGGGGTGGTTGGTTCATCAGGAGGTGAGGTTGGCTCAACAGGAGGGGTGGTGGGCTCATCAGGTGGAGTGGTAAGCTCATCAGGAGGGGTGGTTGGTTCATCCGGAGGGGTGGTGGGATCATCAGGTGGGGTGGTTGGCACATCAGGAGGGGTGGTTGGTTCATCCGGAGGTGTGGTTGGTTCATCCGGAGGGGTGGTTGGTTCATCAGGAGGGGTGGTTGGTTCATCGGGAGGGGTGGTTGGTTCATCAGGAGGGGTGGTTTGCTCATCAGGAGGGGTGGTTGGTTCATCAGGAGGGGTGGTTTGCTCATCAGGAGGTGTAGTAGGCTCAACAGGAGGGGTGGTTTGCTCATCAGGAGGGGTGGTTGGTTCATCAGGAGGGGTGGTTTGCTCATCAGGAGGTGTGGTTGGCTCAACAGGGGGGTGGAGGGCTCATCAGGTGGAGTGGTTAGCTCATCAGGAGGGGTGGTTGGTTCATCCGGAGGGGTGGTTGGTTCATCAGGAGGGGTGGTTGGTTCATCAGGAGGGATGGTTGGTTCATCGGGAGGGGTGGTTGGTTCATCAGGAGGTGTGGTTGGTTCATTGGGAGGTGTGGTTGGTTCATCAGGAGGTGTGGTTTGCTCATCAGGAGGGGTCGTTGGTTCATCAGGAATGGTGGTTTG